TGCCGCTCACTTTCCGGCATGCTGTGCAAGTTACCCGCGACCTGGGAGTGCGCTACCTCTGGATTGATTCGCTTTGCATCATTCAAGACAGTGTGGAAGATTGGGAGGTCGAGTCCGGCCGTATGGGCGCCATATACATGCACAGCTACGTGACTCTGGCGGGAGACAGCAGCCGATCGAGCGATGCCGGGCTGTTTAATACGCAGAGCGTGCTTCAGGACGAAGAGCCCCTGGGGGAACACATAAGACTGGACATTTCCACTGGGGACACAGGGGGGGAGAGGTCTAGCTGCGACCTGTACATTTCATCCGAGCTCGAGGTGCCGAAAAACGTAGGTGCTCTCGGCCCAGTCACAGGCCCCGAGGAGACCGAGGAGCATGAAGATGATCCGGATGAGAGTTTGGTAAAGCGAGGTTGGACGCTGCAGGAGGCAGTCCTACCTTCGAGGGTGCTCCATTTCACCAGCAAACAGTTGATCTGGGAGTGTTCGCAGACGGGATACGAGGCAGAAGATATGTTTTCTTTGAATCTGCGGTACATGCGACCGTCTTTCACGGAAATGAAGGCCAAGATGATGCCCCAATTAGGAAAGGGGGAAGGGGACGATGTCTATGACCCAGCTCGAGGCCTTCGCACCAGCGAGGTCAAAATCCTGAGGGCGTGGTACTGGGACCTTATCGAGTTTCGCTATTCCGGCCGGCGTCTAACTTACGGGATAGACAAGTTGCCGGCTATCGCTGGGTTGGCTGACTTGGCATCACAGACATTGGACTGCGAGTACATTGCCGGGATGTGGAAGAAGGGGATGGAGTGGGCATTGACGTGGCGTGTATGCCAAGCTGAGGCATTCACAGCAGAGAAGAAACGACAACCCTACCGTAGCCCGTCATTCTCCTGGGCGTGCTCAAACAGCGTGACGGTGTGGTCCTACCCACTAGAGACGTTCCAACGGACAGCGCGGGTTGGGGATACGCACGTCGAGCCTCGGTGCAGCAGTAACCCTTTTGGGTGCCTGCGAGAGGGGTGCCGCATACGGATAACTGGATGGGTTTCTCAACACGCTGTAAAACCTCACGGTAATCATCGAAACGCATTTCAGTTTTGCATTGGCGACAAAATCGTCGGCAAGATATACATGGACCGTGTTTCCGACGATGCCGAGCCCTGTTCGGTGGTGTGTATCGAGTTAGGCCTTGGGATGGAAGCCGGCGCTGAGATGGGATTCCCGGATGTTGAACCGAGGCGCAAAGACTTGTTATTGCTCGTACTCGTACCGATACAGGGCGAACCGGAGTGCTACACGAGATTCGGCCGGGCTGAATTCATCGGCTGGGACGAAGGGTATGAAGCTTACACAGAGTATGTGGACTCGCGGGAATGGCGAACCATCACTGTTTACTAAGTCTTGAATTCCTCTTCTTACTTAAAACTCTAGTTGACCTTCCAAGAAATAATAGTGCTCTAACAGACCCGGTTCATGTAAGGCTCAGCCTTGCCTACTGCGTCACGCCGGTTGTTGAGGTTCAATGTGGCGGGGTCAGTTGATATACTGGCCCCTGACAGATGAACCATACAGGGGGGCATTGCAGCTGACGGCTAACGTGGAGTTATTTTTCGCTCATAATATGGGTAGTTGAAGCTATCGTCCGGACGTGAATGTATAATTATTAATTTTACATTTACATCCGGACGATAGCTTCAACTACCCATACGTGCTCTGTTTCACTGCGAAAAAAAAAAATGGGGGCATGTTTAAGCTATGTCCCAAGTCCCTGCTATTCTTCGCATTTGCCATCGGCTGCAGCACCCCTCTATATAAGCGCTTGGTAGCTATCCACTGCTTTTGTAGGAATTGTAATTGGGTGAGAGACTGAGTTTATTACGGACCCTGGACGATCTGCGCGGCACGTAAGCGCCCGCTGTGCCACAGTCAAGTGGGGAGTCTTCCAATATATAAATATAAACCAACGCCGCTACGCTCCTCCTTCGCTCTCTTAAACGTCTACTATCTTTCTCTATCCCCTCTCCCATATACCCATCAGTCTTATTCCCAAGCGTTTCCGTACTCATGCATTTGATTTATTCTTTCCTGTCGTCCTTATTGGCAACAATCAGCCTACATCTCTTTAGGTGGGATCTGTCCTCGGTTCTATGGTGGGATTCAAATACTTGCTTTCGTCCAAGTAACACCGCGGTGGAAGAACAGGAAGTAGAAACAGAAAGAGAAGCGTCCAAACACGAAGTATCTACCGGAACACGAGAACATCTCAAGCACCATGGCGAGAACCTACCTGCATCGAACAATGTGGAGTTGAAACATCCCTTGGATGACCAGCCATTCAAAGCTCGTTCGGACAGCGCACTCGACTCGGCCTCCCTGTGTGCGTACTGCCGCGCCGTCGATATTGAGCTTCTCTGTCGCGCTATAGACCACGAGGACACTGGTCTCCCCTTCCACCAGTGCTGGCAGGATGTCAAAGAATGTGCGGAAAGTGCTGGCTGCCCACTTTGTGCCTTTCTGGAACGGTCGGATACCATCTCCATTCAAGATGACGGCATATTGCTCCCGGTCGGCAGATTCAATAATACGGACCGCCTCTCCAATGATACAAAAGCAAGACTGAAGGGGTTCGTTCGCGGCAGGTTATACGTAGTAAGTGAGTTTGGGGGAAAGGGGTTGGTCATGATGACGCAGGAGAAGGAGAGTGATGTGCGCTTCAGATACTGGAGTTTATCGGTGGGGGAAGACGGTGATAGCTGTGGTGAGTCTTCTTGTGGCCAGGGACGAAATCAGGAAGCAACCGAAACTAATGATACCGGGATACCGGCCGGCAGGACAATATGTGGAAAAATATGGGCTTCCGATTCGCAGAAGATTAATGTCCACAGGCTCAGAGTCTTCTCTGAACACGGTGCGTCAATGGATGGCCACGTGTGACGCAGAACACGACTGCTATCCAAGTCATTTCACTCAGAGTCGTTGCCCCGCAGCTCGTCTGATAGACGTCCAGGCCTTTGGCGCGTCATGTCCCGATGTGAGATTGATCGAGACGGACAAGGTCAATGCCGGTACAGGAAAGGTTTGCCATTATTCGCTCTCTTCTTTCCTCTCTAAAGTCTAGAAGCTGTCATGCTGACCATGCCTGAATACAATATAGTATCTCGCTCTAAGCTACTGCTGGGGGCCTCCTTCCCACAGCAAACAGCTCACAACTACACGCGCCACCCTACTCAGTCGTACCAGTCGCATTCCATTTTCCATCCTCCCGCTCACCTTCCAACATGCCGTCCGCGTCGCCCGGTTCATGAACGTGCGTTATCTCTGGATCGATGCACTCTGCATCGTCCAGGACGACCCGTGCGACTGGGATCACCAAGCAGCCAAAATGTGCGATGTTTATGCGCGCGCGACGCTGGTCCTGGCATCTGACGGCGCGGGCGACCCTACGTGCGGACTATTTAACGAAAAAAGCGTGATGTTCGATGAGGAACCCTTTGGAGCGCATGTGGCCGTGAGATTTCCAGTATCCTCTTCCTCAACAGGAGACGGATCGACTGCTGCTCCTCAAGTTACAATTTACATCTCGACGAACAACTCATTTCCGAGCCAGATGGATCATCGTTTGATTGATAATGATGGCGGCGACATTATGCTTGTAACACGTGGGTGGACGTTGCAGGAGGCAGTTCTGGCGCCACGTGTACTGCACTTCACAAGCTCCCAACTGGTGTGGGAGTGTAAGGAGTGTGGGTACGTGAGTGAAGATGGGTTCTCGGTGTATTTGAGAGACCAACGGCCAACGTTCGTGGAGGTGAAGGAGAAATTGAGGATGAATAGGCAGGAACTTCAAGGCGCAGAAGGCGAACCCGAGATGGACAAGGAAAAGGATGGAGGAGATGACAATCTAGAAGAGGCAGCGGGGCCACATCGAACGAAGATTACTGCTGATGAGATTGAAGTGCTGAGCGCTTGGTACTTCGACCTCATCATGTTCCGCTACTCGACACGAAACCTGACTTATCAAGAAGACCGACTTCCAGCGATCGCCGGTCTTGCGGATTGGACAGCTCAAGCATTACAATGCGATTATATTGCAGGAATGTGGCGGACCGGATTTGAATGGGCGTTGACGTGGAAGATGGAGAAACCGAAAGAAAGAAGGCTACCTACACATCACGGTCATGCACTCCCCTGCATGGATGGAAACATGAGATCGCATCACGCTCCATCCTTCTCTTGGACCTCGTCCACGGGCCAGATTCACTGGGACTACGCCATTTCAACATTTGTACCCAGCATACGTGTTTGCGATCTCAGTGTTGAGCTAGCGGGCTCTAGTCCATTCGGCCGCATCCACGCTGGTTTCGATTCGGATACCCGGCTCCGTGTCCAAGGTCGCTTCGCAAGAAATGTGGTGCTAAAACGGTCGCCGAAGACGAAGCGTTACGCTCTCCCGGGCGGAATCTGGTGCTCGCTTTGGATGGACTATACGTATGAGACAGAGGACTTGGATGGTAAGGGGGATGGCGAAATCAGAGTGTCTTTACTGGAGTTGGGAATTGCGGCAGGGCCACCGGAACGGGCCGGTGGAGGTCAATGGTGGTTAGACCAGGGGCGGTTCAGAAACGTTTTCGTGTTGGTGTTGGAGGAGTTGACGCGGTCTGGAGAGGAAAGCGTTTTCATGAGGAGAGGGATAGCAGAGTTTTTTTGGGATCTTTCTGAGACGAGAAAGTTCCGGGAAGGGCTAAAGTGGGAGACAGCCATTCTCGTTTGATTCTGGGCTTCTAGAGAAGCACGCTTTATTACGGTTACCGCGGGAATACATCAAGCGAATAGTTGCATTTATCGAACACTAGCATGGATTTCGTGCACTAATACTGAAGCATTGGTCTATCAAGTAGAAGCTTCCTTCGAAAGGATAGCGGTGAAAAAGGATGGCGCTGAATGTAAACCGTTCACCAATGAAAACAAAATGGAGATGTATTCGCATGAACCCCTTCACTGATCCGGAAGAGGGCCGTTGTAGTCGTAGACCAACTTCTCCCTCAGGACCTTTTCCCCGGCCTTGACGACGACGTGTCTCGTGTGTTTCCTTACTCCGTCTTTAAGCTCGAAGCCCCAGGTCTGGTTGGCCGTCCAGCCGCTGTCCTGGTTCTCCACAAAGGTTTCGATCAGGTCACCGCCCTCGATGGTGCTCTCGTCCCAGCCTTCTTTCATGAACTTGCCGTCCTCATCATCGGGGAGATCGGCCAACGTAATCCGGCGGGTGCGACCCTTGACCTTGCCGAAGACTCCGTTCACGCTGTCACGCCATTCCCAGTCGAGAACGCGTTCCTCGGGAGTCTCCTTCTTACCCGGAAGGCTTGGAGTGGTGATCTGGTCGATGTCGATGTGCTCAAGGCCATTTTCGTCCTTGTACTGTTTGCAAATAAGGGTGACGGTTGCGATACGGATGGCCCGACGGAGGAGCCAACCAAAACCCTGCAGTTCGAGAATGGCGTCGGTGTTGCCGGATTCCTTTTTGTTCTGGGTATGGAAGGTCAGTTACCGTACAAGGAATCCAGCTAGTTCGGTCAGAGAACAAAGGAGATGTATGTACATACCATCACCCACGAACCATTGAAGTCTTGAACCGTCTTCTCAAGAGGTGCAGCCATTTTTCAACCGTTTATCTTATAATGTACTCGACACAAAGATCTTGAAATGGCGATTGGGCAACAGAGACAGATCGAGGACAGGACAGATGAAAGTATGGTGTGTTGGTATGCAAGCGTCGAGACTTGAGTGTGGACAGCGGTGTGGTATGCGGAACAGAAGCATCGAAGCACTCTTATATATTCCAAAACAACGCCAGAATTAGTATCCGCGCTTCCGCCAGGAACCTACGCAGTCTTCTGGGATTGGGGGCTTAGCATGAGTTGGCGTGTAGATGCCGAGGCCAACATCGGGGCATTGGCGGATTGCGCTCTGTCTCATCCTTCACATGTATGTACCTGCGCAAGTGGCCAAGTTTTCAGTGCCCAATCCCGCGGGATAGCGCTACCGGACGTTGCACGGAGTCGAATCGGTGGTCGATACTACCTCCGGTATGGCCCCCGCCTAAAATGACCCGCCGAGCCTAGAAATGTGACTGCAACCAATCGACCGAAGACGTACGTGATTATTGAGGTGATGATGTATATGAAGGCTTCAAAAACGATGATGAGATGGTGTGAAGAGATGTCATCGGCAGGAGTGGGACTGGACTGATGCTCATGAACTTACCGACTAGGTAGAGCTGCAAGGTCATCCAGCCCCCACAGGCGCGCGTCGGCCCAGCGAACGACACCAATTCCGCCACTGTGACCCGAGTATCCGCCACCAGCCCACCAGCATTGGCAACGTGGCACTTACTCGTGTAATGCCTCGGCTTTTCTTCGCCCATCACTTCCGCCTTCTGCCTATCAAATTAGCTCGCACAGCTATCCCTATTTAGTGTTTCTAACAGTCGTCGCAAGGCTCCGAGGCATCCGTCAAGATGTTCACGTGCTTAAGCTAACATTTCCGTTTTTTTTTCGAATATACCGTAGTATGGGGGAACTACTCCGCATTCTTGGCCAGCCCCACGCTGCTATTTTCTGGGGTGTATGTACTCCGCAATGACTCATGTTTGCCACTTCTATTCTTTTCTCTTTAGGGTGGGCTTTTTACATTTACTTTATTATTTCTTTAGGTTGGATATAAACCACCTAAATAATTCGAGATTTCTTCGATGAGAGACTGAGAGGGTTTCTGATTCGACTCCGCCGGATTTGACTGACATTTCTGTTTAGGCCGTCATAGCGAACATCATCAGGAAAGACAAAAGTAGGGAAAATGCTCCCTCGTGAAAGGTTGCGACTGCAGTTACAAAACTGCGCGAGCATTCTAGCAAGGTCCTCGAAATTAAGATTACAAGCCCGCCCAAACAAAAAATGACAATGCATCCTCATAGGTCATCAGGCCAGCGAGGTAAGCTTATGAGCTGCCGCCACTCAGGGCAGCTGAAAGATCGAGGTCGTAGCGGATCGTGTTCTCCTTGATCGCCGCCTCCAGCCAGGGAATGTGCTCGCCGGCCGAGTTGATGCTGCTGTTGCCGATAATGTCGAGCGGGAGCACGAAATCGCTGTACTGCTTCGTGATAAGCCCAAGGACGAGTGACGTATTGACATATGAGCGCATGTCGAACGTGTTGTTGCCGGGCACGAGGTTCAGGTCCGGGATGAGCGTGTATCCGATGTAAGTTCCGTTGACGGACAGGTTCATGGTCACGTTACCCATGGCCACGCCGAGCACCGACGGATTGGGGATGAAGAGCGTGCCGAGAAGCGTCGCGCCATCGGGCTCGGGCTTCGTCTTGATGTCGGCGGAGGTGATGGCCAGGCCAGAAAGTTTGTTCAGACCTTGATAGAGCGTCAGTCCATGCAGTTTTTTTTTTTAAAAAAAAAATCAATATACGGATGCGGAACGCACCTTTCATCGTGATAACTTTGTTGTAATCGACATCAAATGAAGGCAAGCCATCGAGCTTGACAGACGGCCGGCCGCGCACAGCAAGCCTGAACTCTTCGCTGCTGATGACTAGCTTGTTGTAGGCGATAAACTGGTCCATGTCGACAACCTCGACATCTTGCTCAACGTCTACTTGGACTTCGCTTTCTGACTTGACGCTCGGAATGGTGATGTAGCCGAATGGTTTGATGTCGGGCAACGTATCTTCCAAGAAGAGCGAAGCGTTGAACGAGGACAAGGTAGGATGGTAGCTGCTGGTGCTTGTGACCTCGTTGTTCAACACAAGGTGGAAGGAATTAGGCTGAGGGTCGCTGATCCCTTGGTATGTCACTTCGATATCGGCCTTGTTCACCTCCTTCTGTCCTTTGTGCGGCACGCCTACGTAAATGCTGCGGTCGCATAAGGATCAGCTTGCGCGCGATGAAAAAGCGGCATTGGTGTAGGTAAGATGATCCAAACTTACATAGGCAGCACAACAATGAGGACGATTATGGCAAAGATGATGAGCCACAACCACCAAAACTTCGCGCAGTGGCGCTTCGCTTTCGAGCCAAACGACTCCTTCTTCACGAAGCCCGAGGTCGTGTCGGCATTGGCCTCGACATTGGTGCCAGCCGGTTTGGTATCCATTTTTATGCTGCTGTGAGAAAAGAAACAGATCGGATGGAAGTCGTTGGTTCAACCCCAGCGCCTGGCTTTGACTGTTTGCGTGGGTAATTAGGTGAAAGGGACGTAAAGCGGGGAAGCCGTCCAAGCCTAGGTATGTTGCGGACAGGCCGACTTCTTGAAGCACATGCTCTCGGGCGTTGCGCCTCAACGGGGGGCCCGATGGCCGGGAAGATACTTGCACAATTCGGCGCCAGCCGAGAGGCGAACATAGGGAGAGCAGCTGTCTTGGTTGAATGGAAGCGAGGATCGTAGGCTAAGCAGGGACCCGCAGCGGGTAGCTAGTGGTGTCAGAAAGAAGTGAACCAATGGCGGCTTTGGAGATAGAGCTTGTACGGAGCAGCATCAAAAGAGAGTTTAGAGCAGCTGAGAGAACCGAGGCAACGAAGAAATTTGAACGAGCACATGCTGCAGATCGGGATGGGGATTCTGCATGAAACGGAGGAGTCGGCTGCACAAGAGCCGCTGCGCACGATTTCGTTACACAGCACGACGCAGGGGACCCCGGCCCCCGGTAGTTGGGAAATTTAAAGCGGACGAGCTGCCTATTCTGCGTTTCTAGAACAGGCTAGATGCAGAGCTGAAGCATAAGGCACGGGCTGCAAAGTCGGTGGCAAGGCCTTGGTTCGCGGCTGTGGTGGTGGTCAGCTGGACCAGTTGGAGAACATGGCGGAGGCGGTATGATGGCATGGAATGACAGCTACGTGTTGCAAGTGGCGGGTGTGCTAAGGCCCAGGGAACGCAGAGGTTGAAGGATGGTTTGATGAGGATTCCCCGCATTTGCAACCCCGGGATCCAATAGAGGGCATTCGGCCGGCAGTGATCACCGCGGGAGGGTCGAAGCGTTCGGGGGTGGGAGCTGGAATAGGCAAGCGGTTGTTTAGCGTGGCGTGCGAGTGGTTAGACAGCCGTATGCCCTGAAGGCTGCGGCGGATGATCGATAGATGCGTTAAGCCATGGCGGGTCGGGCATGCAGGAGTACGGCGTAGCGAAGCCAATGAGCGGAGAGGCTGACCGAAAAATCCACAACGCGCAGGGACACTGGCACCGGGTCACGCGAGCCAAAGAGAAGGGCGCCTTTGTCGTAGATCAGCCATCGCGACCTCTGCCGGCGAATGCGGCTTGCAACTTGCGACACACCCCGGGTGTCTGGTTCCGGGTTGGTCGCGCGTTAGATCAAGGAGGCTCTGGTGCGAGGCAAAGCGTGAGGTGGATGTCATGTCAGCGGTGCGGCGCGGACACGCCGTACTCTCCACCGCAAATTCCGGAGTTGCCGAATCGATCGTCTGCGCGCACCATAGGTGCCGTGGCAACGCTAGTCTCGACACTTGCAGAGAAAAAAAGAATCGGTGGGCGGATGAATGGGAAGAAGAAGCGAGGGCGCGATGTTCCTGACAAGGCGACGCCGCGTCGGCCGCCGAGCCTCCGATCGGCTCTGGGGCCGCTCAAATTCCGGGGTCCTATGAGGTCACAGCTTCACCACCACACTTTCTCTCCACGCTAGCATGTCGCCCACCCCCGAAGATCGGGCGCTCTCTGGCCCCGCCGCAGCCGACGATGACGAAGATGACTACATGAACATGGTCATTGAGGAGCCGACCAAGAAGGAGACGTCGCTGCAGAGATTGCAGCGCGAGAAACGTGAGGTAAGCTGTCGCGCCCATCCTGCGTCTTGCCATGTTTGACACTCACCCCTAGTAAAGAGAATCGAGCGGAGTCGGAGCCACAAGACGAAGCGTGAGCTTGCAGAAGAAGCCGACGCTGCCCGCGAAGCTGCCCTCGACAAAGCCATCGACAGCTCCAACAAGGGCTTCAAGATGCTCGCCAAGATGGGCTTCAAAGAGGGATCTAAGCTGGGCAAAGGCGAATACGGCGTCGCTGAGCCTGTGAGGGTGCAGATGAAGGAGGGCCGTGAAGGCATCGGCATGGAGTCCGAAAAGAAGCGCAAGCTGCGCGAGACGTACGAAGAGCACACGAAGAAGGCCAAGGTTGAAAAAGAGACCGAGGAGCAATACTTTGCAAGCATGGCCCAGGAGCGGAAGAACAAACGCATGGAAGGCCAGTTCATCGGCGCTCAAAAGGTTGCCGAAAAGCTGGACACTGAGCCGGTCGAAGACACGCAGGAAGAAAATGCGCAAGACGGCGATGAGGGGCAGACTGGCGATGACGAGAAACCAGCCATCCCTGCTGATGACAAGAAACCATCTATCCCTGCTGATGACAAGAAACCGGCCGTCCCTGTGGATGACAAGAGCCAGCCTCTGCGAAGCATCCCGTTGATCTGGCGTGGTCTTGTACGTTTCCGCTTAGAAAAAGAAAGCGAAGGTCTGATGCGCAAGGCTCTTGAGACACGCTTAACACGTCTGCCTACTTATGACGACGAAGATGAGGATGAAGACGATAAGCGCGGCCTTGGAAAGGACGACAAGACCAAGATGATTGTACACGAGGACCTTGCTGAGGAAGACACTGAGCTGGAAGAATTTAACGCCTTGGAGCCGCAGAAGAAGCTTGAGATGGCTGTCCAGTACCTCCGCGATAAGCACAATTACTGCTTCTGGTGCAAGTACAAATATCCCAACGAAAAGATGGAGGGCTGTCCTGGTCTGACGGAAGAGGATCACGACTAAAACGGTATGCGGAGTGTAGCATAATCCGATAGAAAAGTATATACCCAATAAGATGACTTTGTATGGAAATTTCGGGGTGACAGTCTACTTGGCTGGCACGTGCGCTCGTGAAGGCGCGCTTGCCCGGTGCGTGAGCTTAACAACAACGACCGCCAAACAATAATTCCGCTTCACCGCCATCGGTGGCTTCAGATCAAAATGGAGCACGAGAAGTGCTACGTATTCAAGCCGAATGACGAAAGGCCGTCGAAGCGACGACGCGTTAGTGCCGCTACGAACAACGCGTCTTTGGAACTGCGGAAAAAGACGTGCCGCGAGCTCTGGGACGCCCAGCAGGAGCGCATCGACGTAAGGATCCCCGCTTTTGATACCACCCACCCGCTTATCCCTTTCAGAGGATCGTTGAGCATGTGCACCGCGCTACCTTGACCGACATCATCGACTACATCAAGACGGCCGCCCTCGACCGCCACGGGACGTCCAAAATCCCCACCGGCCTAGTCGTCGCCGGGCCCAGCATCGCGTCACATGCCCAGTTCTTCGACAGCCTGGCCCAGAGGACTGCCGGGGAAGCCGACAGTGCCTTTGTTGCGCTGACGTCGAGTGAATGCCCTAATCTGAAAACTCTTCTCAAGCATCTCATCCGCAAGGCCACTTCTGCCGAGGATGACGACGGCGACGAGCTCGTAGCTCCTCGGCGAAAAGGGCCCAAGCTGCTCAATTATGACCTGCAACTGCTTTTGGATTGGTGTAAAGAGAGAAATCCAGCCCATGTCGTCGTCACTTTCCGCGACAGCGAGGCGTTTGAAGGTCCTTTGCTGGCTGATGCCATTCAATTATTGAGGTATACTGCCCCACCAGCCTTGCCTTTTCGACATTAGCTAATCCCCTCTAGCTCCTGGCAAGATCGCATCCCTTTCGTATTGTTGTTCGGAGTTGCCACATCTGTGGAGGGGTTCCAAGAAAAACTCCCGAGCGCTGCCATCCGTTGCCTCGAAGGTCGCAAGTTCGACGTTGCGCAGGCTGATGAGGTCCTGGAGCAGGTCTTCCTCAAGACCATTGATGGCGGTGCCCCTCTTTGGCTGGGCCCTGAATTGAGCCGCCAAGCGTTTGACAGACACAAAGACCACATACAAAGCGTCGAGACGTTTGTCGATGCGTTAAAGGTTAGATCACAGCTCACCCACCACGAGCATGCAGCTGACGCTGAATAGTATGCATACATGTCTCACTTTTTCGCGAACCCTCTAAGTATATTTCTCCAAGCGGAGTTGGAGTATGGGCAGATTTGCAGCGACGAAATTGAGGCCCTGCGAAATGTAGATTCGTTCAGAAGGTATGATATCTGAAGCTTCGTCTCTGACCTGGAGCTGACAAAACTAGATTGACAGAATATCTTTTGGACGAGCGGGATGCCGCCACCGTGCGCAGTCTGCTCGAATCCGACGAGTTCCTTTTCGACTACGCCAAAGAGCAGATCACTGCCACCCAGGAGAAGATCCAGAGTATCGTACACGCCTGCCAAATCTTGAAGGACCTTCGCGGCACGATCCCGAGGCTTTCGCCGATGCCAGTTTCCGCTCTCTACATTCGTGCCGCCTCCGGCGAACTCAACAAATCCCCATTGATACGGGACTTCCTGCTCGCAGTCAAGAAGGCCCCCTCCGACATCCTCTCCAACCTACTCGCCGTCCTCGTCAAATCAAGCGCCAAAGACAAGCGCGTTGCAAAAATCCAAACCGACCTCAACGAACTCGTAGCGAGCACGGGAGCGACCGGCCAACCGCTGCGCAGTGCCCACGACGTGCGCCACGACACGATGCGCACGACCGTTGTCGCGCAGAAGGTCGAGCTGAGCAAGCACAAGTCGGCCCTCTCCGCCACCGACACTGCTTACTCCAAGATTGTCGAGGAGTTGCATGGCTGGTTGGTCGACTATTTTGAGAACGTGCTGGTGCAGCCTCAGGACCTGTTCCTCCACGAGGTCGTCATATACGACCTTAGAAGCCCACATAGGGATGTCTTCACGCCGAAACCGCGTATTGCGGTTGAAAGAGCGCTGTCGGCGCCACATGATTATTTGGGTTGTAGCTGCTGCGAGACGGCCAAGGGCGCTGAGGGCGCTCTCTCATCGACCCAACCTCCAACCGCCATCTTGTATCAGCTCTATTTGGAGTCGGGTAATCTCATAAACGTCAACGACTTGTGGCTTGCGTTCAACGCCATTGTCGGCGAGGAGGGCGAAGATCAGAGCATGACCATGTAAGAAATTCGTTAGTGCTGTGCGTGAGGAATCGAGTTGCTAACAGTATCATAGGGCGTTGTTCCAGCGGTCGCTCGCCGAGCTGAAGTACCTTGGCCTCGTCAAGGCTAGTAGGAAGAAGACGGATCACGTTGCTAAGCTGGCCTGGAAGGGCCTGTAGCGCAGCAAACCATGGTAGGGAGCACCGCGATAGGAAACAATTATTTGGCCAATGGCAGTCCTCTCCCGAACCAACCAATGCAAATTGTGGAAGCGTGACCCTCCCGCCCAACTTGACTTTCTCCTTTTTGGTTACCTTATTTGCGTTCATCCGTGCTATTACCAATACTGGCACTCAACTAATACAACTTCATGATGTTTGCTTCGGCACAACATCACACAGCGTCCCACACTTCTTGCAGGTCCTCGCCTGCTCATCCTCCTTGAAGGCGTTCACGGCCTCCTTGATCTGCGTGCCCAAATTCGTGCAGTGGAAGCTCTTCTCATGCACTTGACCACCGCAGCCCTGACAGTACCAGCGCAGCCTGTCGACGCTGCCCTCGGGGCGGGGCTGCTCGAGCACGATGCCGACCGTGTTGGCAAAGCGCACGGGGTTGTGGGGCACGTTGGGCGGCAGCAGGAACATTTCCCCCTCGTTGATGTAGATGTCGCGGAAGGGCTTGGTGGGCGAGTCGTGGTCCTCATCGATGACCTTGAGCAGCATGCGCCCCTTGTACTGGTAGAACCACTCGGGCGTGCCGTTGATGTGGTAGTCGGTGCGCGCGTTGGGCCCGCCCACGATCATGACCGTCATGTGCTCGTTCGTCACGCAGTAGTTGTTGACCGGCGGCTGGAGGAGGTGCGAGTTCTCGGCGAGCCTACGGGTAGGGGGGAGAAAAGCGTCAGTATTGCGGCCTGGAGGCAAATGGCAGATGCTCTTTACCATTTCGGCAGGTTGATGGGTAATGGGAGACCGCCGGCACTGCTGAGCGCCGCTGCGCTGGAGGAGAAGGGTCTCGGCGCGAATGCATTACTACTGAGGGGCGTCACGACTGACGCAAGAGCAAGCGGGCGGATGGCGGCGGTTCTCAGTGGGGTGAGGCTGGTTGCGACGCGGCGCGCTGCGGCCACGGCGGGACGGATTGACGGCTGCATTGGAGAAGACGTGTGGGGCAAGACCCCGGATTATCGAGATGGTGGGCGACTTTGTATCGCGGGTCAAGACATTGGAAGAATTCGGAAGCGGGCCGTAGCCGACGGAGAACTGGTGATGGATGAGAAATCAGAAAAGGCGCGACGCGTGCGGGTCAGCGTGACGTGAGGGGAGGGAGCTATGGCCATTTTTCTGCCGCCCGCTATCTCCGCCCGAGTCGCCGCCTTTGCTGAGGCGGGGGCGGAGAGGAAGTAATGGACGAAGAGCAGGACGTGGAGAGTTGGCTGATGGTTGGTTGGCTGGTCTAGTGCAGTGCGAGTCAAGGCACTACGCGTTTCGTATCACCCGCAGTTCCAGCTCCCCTGGAGCACTCGTCAGACGACAAAACCACCTCTTATTTGCTCATCGCACCATCCGTCACCTGCAGCGACGCTACGACGCCCTGCAGCTCGAGGCTCTCCGTAGCTTAGCCGACGCCACATATCCCGGCCGCGTAGCTCTCATTAAGCCTCACCTTCACCCCCGACAACACAGCTCTTCCCGACCACCACCAACACCACCGCTATCATGGACCACGGACACATGGATCACGGCCACATGGACCACGGCGATATGGGCCACGGCGGCCACGGCGACATGGATATGGGCGGTGGGCCCAAGTGCAACATGAACGTCCGTCTTCCCTCCAGACCTCAGCTTCCATCCTGCGCGCCCTGAACCACGGCCCTACCCATCTACCCTGAATATTCGTGCATCGACGACGTACTCTCTATCCCGCGTTTCTTCTGCGTCCCATCGCTTGCTTTTGCCTTTTGCCGAGCTCTGGACGCTGACGGCGAGATCGTATAATGTGTGCAGATGCTTTTCACGTGGGACACAACGGACCTGTGCATCGTGTTCCGGTCCTGGCATGTTGGCTCGACCTGGAGCCTCATTGTCTCGCTGCTGGGCGTCGTCGTGCTGTGCGCCGGCTACGAGCTGGTGCGCGAGCTCTCCCGCCGCTACGAGGCCTCCGTGGCCGCCCGCCAGAGTGGCGTTAGAGTTGGTGGCTCGGGTGTTCCTGGTACGCTCCTCTCTCTCTTTGGCCGTTTACCTTTCTCCCCATTTTGCTTTGTAACACGAGCCTTGCCCTCTTCCTTTCCCCAAAAGATCACTACCCCCAGCCCAAATTTCTTGTCCTTCACTTCCTTCACCGGAAACGAGAGAAATCGAAGAAACCGGGCTTACACGAGAACCCTCCGTCATTCTTGCCCCCCGCAAAAGACCCCCGCACCCACTCAATCATCGACGAAGACAACAACAACCACTTTGACGAATCGAGCTCATTACTCGGGTCAACAACAGCAAATAATGCCGGCGGGCGGACCGTCGTCGCGTGGTCGGCGCGCGAGGAGAAGCGCATCAAGATCGTCAAGGCCGTGCTCTACGCCGTCCAGGTCTTCTACTCGTTCTTCATCATGCTCCTCTTCATGACCTACAACGGCTGGGTCATGCTCGCCGTCGCCGTCGGCGCCTTCGCCGGCTACCTCGCCTTCGGGAACGCCGGCGGAGCCGGCGGCAGCGCCACCAAGAGCGTCGCGTGCCATTAGAGTTTTTTTTTTTTTCGGGGGCATACTTCAGAGAAGATTTCTGGTAGACCAAGGAACTTCTAAAGTAGCTTGCAAGACTCTGGAGACTTATGGCGAAGTATTTCGGCATGTCTGTGGTGTCCAATTTATGTATCAGGCAAGGACAAGCATTATACACGTCGAGGGCTTCGGTCAAATGCACCGCGCGAGAAGATCACATGTTGACTTGCAACCGTTTGGAAATTAGCGGTTTTATCTTACATGCATGACTATAATTGAAGTAGCCCATTTTTTGAATCTGCTACGCTGTACCAATCCAATTCTTTCCGAATAACATTAAACGCCAGTCTTGCATCTCCCAAACAATAAAAACAAAAGCCACCTTGAAACAACCACTCTCCCCCACCCAACTCTACTCTACTCTACTCCTCATCCTCTTCCTCCTCGTCGTCCTCCTCCATACCCTCCGCCACGCTGACCTTGAAAGTCGGCGCCTGGTCCACGCCCACGTAGCTGTCGCTCATCAGGTACAGCGTAAGCTCGTGTTCGCCCGGCGTGGGGACCACGTATTCCAGCTTAGTCTTGAGCTCGCGCTGGACCTGGACGCGCTTGATGGCGAGCAAGCTCTTGGTGCTCTCCTCGCCGACGACGAGCCACCACCACTCGGTCTTGTCGGAGGGGAAGAAGGGCGCATGCACCGCCCTCGGGGCGTTCTTTGGCGCCTCCTCTTCCTCTTCTTCGTCCGTCTCGCGCGTGACCGTGATGCTGAGGTACGCGGGCGAACCGGCGGCGATGTCGTCGGGGTCGAGCACGTCGAACTCGACCGACAGGTCTGGGTAGAACTCGTTGACGAAGCGCGCCGCGTCGGCCAGCTGCGCGCCCGAGAAGTCGAGCCGCTTCACGAGCTCCTTGTTGTTGGGCGCCTCCGGGTCCATGGCGTCGATGAAGTCCGACACGTCTTGGACGCCAACCGCGTTGGCCTCCTTGACTAGCTGGTTGTCAAAGTGCGGGATCTGCTTGAGCGGGCTGTCGCGGTCCCACATGGCCTGCACCACCATCTGCGAAATCTCCATTGCGTTCATGGCGTTGAGGTGGCCCTCGGACGAGAGCACGTCGACGCAGCCTTGCAGCAGCGGGAGCACCTTCTTCAGTATTGTGTCCTGGTCCTTGACCAGATCGACTGGGAGCTGCATGCGAGAGAAGTGCGCCTGCAGGAGGACGAACGCCTTGAAGTGTGGTGACTCGTACGACGCGTCCGCCATCTTTACCGGCAGGCGGTCGTACACCCGACGCAGGACGTGATCTTCGTGCCTCCGGATTTGGATGCCTTCGAACTCTGTCGCCGAGGTGATAATCTCGAGGATGCCCTTGAGCTTTGTGCGCCCATTGAGCGAAAGCAGGAAGGTCTGCATGGTGATGAAGGAGATGTTGTAGTAAGCGGCAATCATGGCGGGGTTAAGCGGTGTGATCGAGTCGTCGTCTTCATCCAGCTCAATGATCTTGGCGTCGACGAGGTCCTTCAGGGTGCTCTCAACCAATTCTGACAAGTGAGCGCTAAGACCTTCATGCGAAGTATCTGTGAGGCCGTAGTAGCTCGGGTTTGCAAGAAGGCGGCGGTAGAAATAGGTGTAAGTCGACCAGTCAACAGCATCCTGAGTGGACGATATCATGCGGGTGCTGATCTCGGAGACAAACGCGTCGTGAAGGAAGACCTGAAGGTGCGACTCAATCGGAAGAGCCTCATTCAAGAACTTCTTGTAGTACTCCCGCTTGACAGCGGGCACCATCAGGACACCCTTGCTGAGCTTTTCTTGGCCCGGACGCCCAGCCTTGCCAAACATTTGCAGGATTTCGCTAATCGGATAGTCGATGTAGCGATGCTCCCTACCCTCGAAGAACTGCGTGTTCATAACGATGACCAAGTGAGCGTTGACGTTGATCTCCCAGCAGCAGTCACGCGATACGAGGAGAACTTGGATGGCACCGACCCGGAAGAAGTGCTCGACCGCCCGCTTGTCGAAGGCCGACAGAGCCTCGTGGTAGTAACCGATACCGTGTGAGAGGGACTCAGCCAGAGCAGGCTCATTGATCTTCTCCAAGACAGGCTGCATCTCCTCGATGGAAGCGTGCAGGAAGCGATCTTCGTCGTCGTCGGCAACACAGGCAGCAATGAGATCGAGAGCGGTATTCCTGACCTGCTTGCGGCTCGGCACGAAGATCATCGCAGGCTTATCAGGCGACATCTGCAGCACCGCCTGGTAGGCAGGCTTGGCCATGGCAAGCATGAGCGACGGGAAATGTGGGATGGTAAAAGACTGGATGTGGAGTTCCAACGGCACGGCCCGAACGCCAGGGGCGAAGTTGAAAATGGTGTGCTTGGTAGCTCCAATCCACTCGCCGATGTCACGAGCGTTCGAAAGCGAAACGCTCAGGCCGATGATACGCATGTCGGACTCCAGCTGCAGCGTCATTGCGTGCATCCTCGACACGACCGTCTCGTAGACGAAGCCACCCTGTCCGCCAAGCATGTGCAAATCATCGGCAATGAAGAGCTGGGTTGCCTGAACGTACTTACGACGCTGCCATTGACGCGAGACGAGATCCCACTGCTGCGGGGTTGCGAGGATGAGATCACCCTGTTGCGCCAATTGAAGGTCAGAGGTGTCGCCGACAAGTTTGACGATTTCCTTGCCACCGGCGACATTTGCTAGACGCTCTTTCCAGTCTTTATATCTGTTGTTGACCAACTCCTGGAATGGAGCGACATAGACTGCCTTGCCGCCCTCCTGCTTGGCCCAATGCCGCAACAGGGCAAACTCAGCGCACACGGTCTTGCCCATGCCGGTCGACGCGCCGACGAAGACGTTGTCGTCCTGCTGGAAGAGAGCAGGGAAGGTCTGGGTCTGCACCTTGTTGAAGCGTTCCCATTTAGGGTACAGTCCAGTAAAATCGGGCCTCTTGAGAGCAGCGACAGGCAGAGGCTGCATGTCCAGAAGCTGGGTATGCGCAGGGAACTTCTCCGGGAGGATCAGCTTCTGGAAGGACACGGCGATCTTGGTCTCTGAATGCATCCAACGGTCGGATACAACGGTGATGAAGTAGTGGGGAGGCATCGGCTCCGTAATGGGGACGGTGAACTCAACAAGGTGCTCGTTCATCTCCGAAGTGGCGTATTCGCGACGCAGGAGGAACTGGTCGTGGAAGAGGATTTCCTCACCATCACAGTCCTCAACTATGATCCAGAAGCTCTCGGCGTTGCCATGCAAAGTCTCGTCCCACACGAAGTTTGGAGTGATGGTCAACTCCATGCGGAGCATGGACCGCGTCATTGGCTGGACATGGGCCTGGATCTCCAGGCGAGGAAACTTCTCGACAAGCGCACACACAGTACGGCCAGCACGAGGGAGACCCATAAGCTCACCCATACGCGGGGGATCAAGGTCGAAGTAGCTTGACCAGGGCACATCGATACGTTCAGCCTTCTGCACAATATCACGAGGGCAATTGGAGAACTGGCGGAGAGGCGTCATCGTGGGCCACATGCGCTTCTCGGCCATCTTGCACAAGTCCAATGCCGTTTTCGCGACGTGGGCCCAGCCCTTCTTCAGGCAGATCTCGAAGATTGCCCTCAGGATACGACCGGCAGACTGGGTGACGTAGACGAGATCAGCCATCAAAGCCAGACCCTCAAGCTTGAGACGCGAGATGTAGGCCTGCAGCAGGACGTTGATCTTGGCATGGGGTTCCTCGATGCTCTCCTTGACGGGAATGGGGACACGTCCGAGAAGCTTGGCGAGTTCAAGCTTTTCATCCTGACGAACGGGGATGTACTTGAATTCGTCACTGAGTGCGAAGACGCGGAAAAGTTCGATAGTAGAGATGTTCGGCTGGATGTGCATGTTGTATGTGGCCATGGAGCTGTGGGTAATGTAGTAATGCGAAGCAACACGACCGAGCTCTGTAGACGTCAACTTGCCGCTCTTCTTGTCATATTTGACGAGGTTCGACTTTTCCAATACAGTAGCGGCCGAGTGGATGAGATCGACTCGCTTCTGTTCCAAAGCCTCGTCGTCCTCGTACTCGGCGCCGACGCTGTAAAGACCCGGCGACCGGAGCATACGGACATACAGGTAAGTGTAGCCGAGCCATTCGACAGCCTCGTCCCGCGTCCGAACGTTGCCGAGGACGATTTCAGCGTTGAGGTTGTCTGCTAGTCTGCTCATGAATTGCGACTCAATGGGAAGTTGCTGGTTCATGAGTGACAGGTAGTACTGTAGCTCGGATTGTGTCGTGATGATAATACCTTCACCGTATGTATCATACTGCGGACGACCGGCACGACCAAGCATCTGCAACACGTCCTGCGGACTAAGCTCAACCCAGCTACCCTTCTCAGGCGAATAGATCTGGGTGCCCTTGATGATGACTGTGTGAGCAGGAAGATTGACACCCCAGGCCAGCGTAGCAGTGCAAACCAATACGCGAAGAGAACCGTCGGCGAAGAGATCTTCCACAGAGGTACGGTCAGCACGACTCATACCAGCGTGGTGGATACCAAAGCCGTAAGGCATCACATCCTTCAGGTCCGCGTTCTGTACACCATCAGATTCTGACCGCAGAATCTCCCGGCTGGCTGCATCACTGCGAATGATCTGTCCGATCGTCTCCATCTCCAACGCCTTGTCGCGAATGTACTTGGCGGTTTTCGCAGTTTCCTTTCGCGAATGGACGAAAATGAGCATTTGGTTGTCCTGCTGCCCAACTTGTTCCAGAACCTTCGTGTAGCAGACGTCATTCATCGTCTTCAGCTGCTTGATGGCCTTCTTGTCGGTGACACCGATGAACTCCTGCTTCAGCGGGCAAGGCCTGAAAGTTCCGTCAAAGTGGAAGAGGCCTTTGACAGGATCAACCCGCAGGAAGCTGGCAACGTCACGGTAGTTAGGAAGGGTGGCAGAAAGACCAATGATGCGCACGGGATCACCGGTTTGCTCCTGGCGGCGGATGGTTCTGCTGACGATGCTCTCCAGGACGGGACCACGATCATCATGCAGCAAGTGAATCTCGTCGATACAAATCAACCGCACCAAGTTTGTGTAGCTCGTGTCGGTGGCTTTTCGAGTAATGACATCCCACTTCTCAGGGGTCGTGACAATCACCTGGGTATCCGCAATCTGCTGCTTGGTAAGTTGACGATCACCTGTAAGCTCAGAAACCTTGATGCCATATGGCTCAAGCCTCTTTCCGAAGTTTCCGACTTGTTCTTGCACCAGAGCCTTGAGAGGGGCGATGTAGATGATCTTGAACTCATCCAAGTTGATCTCACCAGTCTCCGGGTTCCTGTGTTTGCCAATCTCACGGAGCATGGTCAACATGGCAACGTTCGTCTTTCCGGAACCGGTAGGCGCGCAAATCAACATGTTGCCGTCGTCCTTGAAAGCTGTGGGGTAGCATCGTGTTTGGATCCTGTTAAGACTCTTCGAGGTACCAAAACCAACTCGTGCCCATTCGGGAAGTTCACTGACAGGCAAGTCCGGCGCATCGTTCGGGTCTCTCCTAGGCTTCGGTGCTGGAACATGGATTTCCTCGTAGCCCTTGAAGGTCCGCTTCGTTGAACCTTGGGGCAGCTTGACGTTCGGGTTGGTCATAAGGTGGTTACCCTGCTCAAAGACCAGGTTCTCCAGGTTTATCAGCCTCCTGGGCTGGAGACCGCCGACCAATCCGCCATCCTTTGCAGCGTCCGGCTTCTCCTCTGCCTTAGGAACGTCAATGTCCATGAGCTCGACCTTCATCTTCTTCGATGCAGGCGCATCCGTCGGGGCGTCTTCTCTTGTCCGTAGCTCGTTCAAGATCTTCCTGTGACCGGCGGCAATCATTTCCCTCTCAATGGCTCCCCGCGCGCTGGCATCGTCTTCGACCTTTCGCCACCTGGTGACCCAGACAACCTTATCCCGGTTAGAAACGAGCTTCGCAACGAGCTCGTGGTGCTCCCAGTCGAAAAGCTCCATAAGGTCGTTCTCAATCTCACGGAGCGGTTTCTCCTCGTCGTCCTCGGTTTCTCCAGACAGTATTTGCAATGCCTCTTGAGTCTTCTCCTGCTGGATGTGCGCGTCCTCGTATATTTGTCCGATCTGGCGCTGTAACCAATATGCGTCGATTTCGTGCGCCGGAATCGGCCTATCCGCGCCCTTCTTTTCCGCCGCGGATGCGTCCATGCCACCGTCGATAATCATCTCCTCCTCGCCTCCAAGGTTGTCGCCGTCCTCGTCGTCGGCAAGTATACCGCCGCCAGCAGCCGTAGCACCCTCAGCGCCTTGCCGTTCGGCGAAATCTCCTTCCTCTTCATCCGAGGTATCATTCTCGTCCCGAACCTCAAACGTCTGGCCCGCCTCCTCATCATCGTCATCCTCATCGAAAACGACCGCGACACCCTGCTTCTCATCCAGCTCTGCGCCCGCAGCCCCGTCCGCCGCGTCGCCCATTTCCTCGTCGTCGTCTTGGGCGTCGTAGTCGGTGATCTTCTTGCCCAGGTTGACGAGCTCGTTGAACTCTTTCGAGCCCATGGTCGACCCGAGAATGTCGTCGATCTCCCTTTTCCTGTCGAAGTCCTTGAGATTCTCATCCTTCAGGTACTCCAGCACCGCGTCCGCGGCGCTGCGCACGACGTGGTTCGGCACGTCGCCCAGATGCCTTCCGACGATGGTTGTGATTAGCTCGTACGTGGACCTGGTGGCGGGGGTGCGCGGCCGGTAGCGCAGGTCTTCAACGAGCAGGTCCGCCTGGCTCAGGATGCCAGTGCCGCGCAGCTGCTGCGGCTCGCCGCGCTTGCGCTTCTTCTGCTCGCGCTCCAGCACGTCCTCGCCCTCGTGGATGTCGCCGCGCTCGATGTCGGCCAGCCCGCCTTGCTTCTTCTTCTTCTTGTCCGTCGGCGCGCTGTCGCGGGCCACGCGCCCGCCCATCTCCTTGATGCTAATGCGGCCGGCCAGCGACTCCGGGTCGCCCGTGGCGTCGTCGCCTCGCCGTGTCACGAAGCGCCGGTCCGCCTGGAGGACCAGGTTGGACATGGCCGCATATTTGAACTGCGCAAGCCTGTTCGGATCCTGCGCCATGGTGGATGGATTATGTTACGGTGTCGCGCCGGCGTGGCGATGGAGGAAATGTTCTTTTCGACGGCCCGTGAGGCAGTGGATTTTCGGATTAAGTGTGAGGCGAGGATCTCATTGCCTGCGGGCGCGTCGAGTTGCAGGCAATGGACAAACGGTATGGAAGGCGGTGGCGGAGGGAGGCGAGGTGGATGCCTGCGTGTAAGTCTTGTAGGCGTCGACGCGAAAATGCTGGAGCTCAAGCTGCAATCTTGGCGCGCCACTTCCATTTTGGTGTTAGCGTACCAAGGGGACTCACCTCGCATCACTTCAACTTATCCCTGCAAAATCATCTCACTACATTTCGAATGGCTAGAAAAGGTTTCGAATATATTGACAGGAGTTTCACTCAATCATTTGTGTTCAGGCACTTCACGTGGCCAGGGCTGCTTCAAGTTGCAACTGCGACACCTTGTACCTGACCTTCATCGTTGATCAGTTCATTTGGCATCTAGAGTGGGGATCTTTTACTGATTCTGCAATTCTGTGTTTGACTTTCTAGAATGCAATTTTCTACCATACTGGCTCTAATTGTACTACTGCCCATGTACAATCAATAAAGATTAGTACCGCATGATCCTCCTAACTTCTGCTGAATGGGATCCAGAATCCAGCCTCGCCTCTTGGTACTTCATGCATCGGTACCTTTGATAACCTCTCGTAAACGCCTATGCAGGAATCACCTCGATATTTTAGGTGACACGTGCGCGCTCTGCACAAAACAATCTGTTCACCATCGAATCCTCTCGAGCAAACTCTCTCGCACCACGCCATTCAGACGTCTCTCCAGCCAGCATGCTGAACCGCCCTGTGGCCGACGGAGTCATCTCTTCCTCTCCCCCCGTTATGTCCGCCGTGATAACCTTCCTTCCTCGGGTGATGGGTCTCTTCTATCTCACGGACCCTTACGATGCGGCCATGCTCGTCAATGACGTCGAGATCTCTGACATCAACCATTCTGTACGAACCACCACTCACGTTGCTGCTGTCAGCTATAGATCTCTGCGACCACGGTACGGTGTCCTCGAGTGGCTTCGGAAGGGGGTGAGTTCCTGCATAATCAGTGTATGTCGTTGTGCCAGATGGAGGGGCTTCCTTAGGAGGAGTGGCCGACCGGTAGTAAGTGATATGGTCAGGAGGATCAACGTGGCGCGCACGGTGCTTAGCCGGGGTATCGTCGTGATCGTGGCTGAAAGAAGGCCTACGAACGATGCGACCTCTTGCGGCGTTTCGGTCTGGCGCGTGCATCCCGTCGTCTTGACGAGGCTGAAAGCTGGTTTGCGGTGGCTCTTGCCAGTATCCATAGTCTTTGAAGTGGTGAGGTCCTAGGTTTCGATGCTATTTAGCATTATCCTTCAGCTAGTGGTAGCTTAAATCATATCGGTGAAACTTACCAGCGTGAGGAACAGACTCTGAACTACTGGTGGGGCCATCAACATGCGGTCGGTGCTTTCGTGCGCCCTTTCCATCCGGACGAGTTCGGTCTCCCTCTCGCTCATGGCGAGGTGGGTTGGCCTTTCGGCGGGAACTTGAAGGTTCTGGGGCAAAAGACACTCGTGGTCCTCCGTGGGCCACACCTACCTCATCAGAATCATCTATATACACGTCTCTTTCTGGAGACGGCGACCAGTGTCCTGACCGAGGCCGGCTTTGAGACCGCAGGATACTGCGAAGCTTTGTCTTGGAGTATTGCTGCTCAGGCTCGTGCGATGGATAAGCGATCGAATGCCGCCTTTGCCCGTGCGATGCCCGCGGAGGAGAAGGATCCTTCTTATGCTTTGTCCTCGGTTCAGGATGCGGGGGTGGCTCAATGGCAGGCCTGCGAGAGCTTTTTGCATCCTGAGGCGGATCTCCGCCGGAAACTTGAATCATGACCCCATGACGGAAGGCCTGAGGATGCTCGCGCAGACGACGCTCAGCATCGCTGGTCTGGCGGTGCACGGGAGGTTTGCGGGTTGGACCCGGTGGAGGTGGAGGGTCATTCTTGACCACTCGTGAATACCTCTGCTCGTGAATAAATGCCGGCTCAGGGCTGACAGAATGTGTACGAAGCTCTCTCATGCGCCTGATGATGGTCGAGTCCTCATCTTTGGGGCGAGTTGGGGAGCTTTGCTGACGGACGTCATGGACTCCCTCAGTGTTTTTGATATGGATCCTTGTGCCGCTTTCAGGCCTTTTATGGGGCCTGTGTGTATGTTCCTCGGTCTCTTCGATGGTGATGACTTCATGTTCATCAATCCTTCCGTGACGGCCTCGTGGGGACGCAGGGCTATTGGAACGGCACTCTCGGACCACAATTCTCGTCCTACTTCCAGACCTATCTCCACCGTCAGCACTAACCTTAATGTCTGATATTGAACAAAAACCAACTCACCTACGACGAGGACGACGATGGTTGCGTAGGTCTTTGTCTTCCATGGCGACAATACGGACACTCTCACTTTCTCTGACGGCCCGCTTCCCTGGTTGGTTAACTATGACCTTTCCGTCGTCCTCACTTGAACTCGAGCTAATCGCTGAGCGGCACTTCCGGCACGGCTCGGGAATGATCTGTTGACCTGGGATTAGAGGATGCTGCCGGTGATATCTCGTTGAACGCGGCCTTCGGCAGATTGAGCAGATGTGGTATTGCAAAGCCACGTGCTTGTGAGTTGAGTTGTAGTTGGGCGCCTTGGAATTGTACGGGTCATCAAAGTAGCTTGTCGACGTAGCCGGAGGTGCGTCTGGCGTGTGAGTAATCGTGATCTCCTCCGACCGGACGACCTCGCGGGGTGGTGGTGGAGGCGGAAGAGGAGCAGATGGAGGACGATGGCCGTGTGGCTGTTGTCGATCTGCAGGTGGCAGTGGTCCAACGAGTGGCATTGGGTGCGGCGGTGGCCACGGTGGCGGGCCGTAGAAGCCAGGAGGATGCATGTGTGGTGGAGGCATCAGCTGGTTACCGTAAGGGTATCCGTGCGCATGGCCAACTCTCCAATCGCCGGCGGGCACGATAGGAGGCAGCCCAGGTGAAGGGGGAGAAGGGGAACGCGAAGCCATCTTCTTCTGCGTTGTGACCTGCTTCATGGCCTCGTCCACTGACAACCCAGGTATGAGAGCCTCAAGAGAAGAGTTCGACAAAAGATTTGGACGAGTCGCACCTTCTAAGGCACTATCTTCCTTAAGGGCGTGACTTTCCTCCCAGGGACTGGGCTGTGTGTCTCCTGGCCTTTCGTTCCTGCTTCTGTCTTCGGATTCGTCTTGCTTCACTGGCACCCGTTTCTTTGACTGTTCTGCAGGTGAAGGAGAATGGTCTACTTCGACCACCCGAGGCTGTTCAAAAGCAGGTATGGGCTCAGGTGAAGGAGGCACTAGCCCTGGAGACAATTCTGGCCTCTCAGGCGGGCCGTGGGGCGGAGGTCTGAATTGGCAGAGATGTTAGTGTGGTACTTGGTGAAGCTAAGAGCTCAAGCTCACATGAAAGGCCCAAAAGGAGGAGCATAGCAATACGGAGCGTAGTAAGGTGACGGCGCTTCAATGCCACTGTGAGGTGGGATTGGAACCGGGCCGAAGTCGTCGAAGGCGTAGGGGGAGTAGTAGTAGTAGTAGTAGTGGGAGGCGGAATGGTCGGGGGGTTCAGTGGGCGATCGCGCCCGCGGCTGCCGCGAAAAGAAGCGGCTGGATCGCCGAGATGCCACTATATCGATGTCAGTCTCTGTCGGAAGGCGCGACGATTGGAAGTCGCTCGCGACGCCGTCGGTTCAGTAGGCACTTCGGGCAAGGGCTCAGAGAAGGCGCGGAGGAGCGGTACTTGACTGAAGTAGCGAAACAACGTCGACGGCGAGCGCGTGTAAAATGCGATAAGGGAGAGGGCACTCAGCAGATGGGCGGAAGTTGAAGATTTTGGGGCTCTGGCAAACGACATTGATGTCATGGGACGAGCAGTGACACCAAGCACCAGCGGCTCTCGCTTAAGGACTTGAATGAAATTTAGGCACCACCCCGCTCCTGAGCAACTGCCAGCAGCGATGCACTTTTGTATTCCTACGCCTTCGCTTTCCTGGCGTTCGTAATATACACATCTAAATTCTTTCCATTTTTCCGCTAATAAGAGAGAAAAGGCGACCCCGCATCCAAGCCGTAGTTTTACTCAACGCGCAGGACCTTCGGGCCCTTCTTCTTGGCGGCACGCTTCTTCTTGTTGCCCTTCTCAAAGGCCATGGCGCTAGCATGGTCTCGGCCAAGGTTATCCAAGTCTTTGACCTTGTAGATACGGATGATCCAGTTCTCGCTGGTGAATGCCTCTTCGATGGTGCTGAGCTGGGGCCCTTCAGCAGGAAGACGAGCGCCACGGACACGGTCAGTAGCTTGCCCGGCAGGGAAGAGAGAGTTGTAGTTGTAGTAAGACATCTTGTACCTGGTAAATTGTCAGTAAAGTACGATGTTCATGGGGGGTGTTGTACTTACATCAAGCTGTTCCTCATGGTAGGAGTCGCCTGGTCATCGACGCGGTACTCGCCCCTGGGAGTGAAGAAATCGCGCTCCTTGACCTCGTCAGGCCAAATGCCCTCGGCAATCCTGACCATCCACAGGAATTTGTTAATGTCGTCGCCGGAGTACCCAAGAAGACCACCGAAGACGACGAGAACATAGTCGACCTCGTGCTGGCGCATGATGGGATAGCTGACTTCTTCACGGGAGCTCATGGCCTTGCCAACAGTGGCAATGTGGGTGTTGTTCCACGTGTTGTTGTCAACAAGCGTAGGCCTGTCCGCCATGCCACCGATCTGATAACCATAGTCCCACCAAGACATGATCTTGGCATTCTCGGGAGTGTTCTGACGAAGCCAGTAGTAAGCCTCGCGGTAATCATCAATGATGTGCTGGCTTCCGTCGGGCAGTCTGCTTGCCAGGACGACTGAAGGAGACGAGTACGCGTTAGACGTGACCCAGGTGCAGTGCAGGACGAAAAGGAGCAAGTAGATCGTGGTCGATGCGACAATAGTAAGCTTCGACGCATACGAGTAAATGCCGACAAGAGGGTCACGGGTGGAACGCAGCGAAGCCGGAATAATGGAAGACGCAACCTCCTCGACACTCGCTCCGTTCTCCTTGGCCTTAGCGTTGACGACTGCAGCGGGGGTTTGCACGACGAGGTAGTTGTCCAGGATGTGCGAGAGCGCCATGGCCGCCGCAACGCAAACAACCGGAGTAAGAGTCAACATAAGGCGGACCATGACGCCGGCGAAGTAGCTGGCAAGGACGGCGTAGATGACAATGAAGACTTGCTCATCGGTGAGCTTGCGGAAGCACATGTAGACGCCAGCGGGGAAGAGCCAAATCATCATGTTCAGGTCGAAGAAGAAAGCAGGCCAGGCGGTAGGCTGATGTTCGGAGACAGACGCAATAATGGGAATGTGGATCTTGGCGTATCCCGTGTCCCAGAGCGAGTAGAAACGGCCGGTCCAGGGAGCAATGACGCCAGAGACAGTAAGGAGGACGAGGCCACCGAAACCGACGACGAAAATCAACAGAACCAGGCTGCGGAGGAGAGTCTGGAACTGCTTGCTCGGAAGCTGCGTCCTGACCCATTCGGTAAAGCCGACAATTTGCAGAAGACCAAAAACACCTGATTTGAGTTAGAACAAAGTCGAGGAGAGGGTTCGAGTATTGCTTACCGAGAGAGGCCATGTGTTCGCTGCTCCTAATGGGCAAGAATCCGACGAAAGGAATCTGCATGCTGGCAAGCGTACCCAGCGCATACCAAGTGGTGTAGCTAACATAGAGGCGTGGGCTGTAACGGCCCATGCAGATGAGCACAAAGGCGTGCAGGGGAAGCAGGTTGGTAATAAAAACGTATCCACCCCATGCAGACACCATGTAGCCATAGAACAGCGCACAGAGGGCGCCCCAGAAAGCAGAGCCAACCTTCAAGGCCTTGATCCACAGGTAAAAGGTGAAGACAAGCAAGAAAATGGCAATTGCCTCGTTGTCGTAACTTCCAGCGACCGAACGAGAAATGTAGCCTGGCGAAATGCCAATGAAGGCAGCGGCGAGGAGGCCAGCCGACGGAGACTCGGACATCTCGGACGTGAGGAGGTACGTGGCGAGAGCCGTCAGGCCCGAGAAAGCGGGCGCGAGGAGCACGCAAATGTTCCGAATGTCAACGGGGATGGTCAGGAAGCGGAGGACGTGGTAAATGACACCGCTAGTAACCATGAGGCCGGGATAGAGGGTACCGCCAGTAACACGGCCCAATGGATGCCATGTCCCTGCAAAAAGCCCATATCAGTATCATAGCCCTCGTCTGTATGAATTGTGTGCGCGAGCGAGCGAGCGGGGAGGGGGTGCGGCGTGAGGCGTACTGTCGTCGAACCAGTCCCAGAAGCTGTAGAAGCCATGCTTGACGAGGTACTTGGTGGCGCGGAAGTTGAACCAGGGATCGACTGCAAGCCATTCAATTAGCAGCGCTACATGCGGAGGCATCCGGGGGACAAACACTCGTGGATAATGCTCTCGAAGCGGATGACACTGAACAGACGGCTGGAGACAGCGGCTGCTGCGATGGTGGCCAAGATGATGATGCGGAGCATGCCACGGGTGTTCCGACCCGTGGCACCCTCCAGGAAGCTCTTATCCGCGGCGGCAGCCATGGTCGAGCTCTAGGTGGCGAAGGCAAAGGCAATTGGAGGACGGTGGTGTTGTTGGAGCTTGCGCTGAAGCCGCGCGTAACGAACACCTATCCTAGAGCTCCCGCCAATCGTCAGCGCCAAGACTTCCCCTGCCGAACTCACTCCAGGCCTTGTCGCAACATTCATGTGCACAACGCCGGTTGACTGCATCCTGGCTCGCGGTCGCTGGGCGAGATCGAGTCCATGAGACCCTTGCCATTGGCGGTACTCTAGTTTGACGCCGGCGTCCCACTGCAGCTGTCTACGAGCTCCAGTGCACCGGCCTCACCCCGCAAAGTGTTCGGACGCGCACGGTAGCCAGATCAGGTCGCATGGGCGCCTTTGAACCTCTGAAGTCTGGGCAAATGGCTGCGATGACCAGTCATCACGATTGTCATGGTTCTTCCAGGCCAAAACGGTTTACGAGCACACCAGTGGAAACAATATCGTCGCGAGTACGGGGTAATCGATTGTCATCAAATAAAAAGAAATTGCCATGTCCTCCGCAACGCGGGATCAGGAAGAAAGCTCTAGCAACCCGCGGAACAGGCCCTCTAACGCCAAAACAGGTGTCCATGCAGCTGTTTGCGCCCAACCGGTACCCAAGGTGGAGTGTTAAGGGTATCGAATCCAGCCTCGACAGGGCCCGGTTCTCGGGCAATATGGATGGATTATCGCAAGCGTCCAGGCAAGCGACGCCAATGCATCTCACAGCAGACGTTCCATCATCGCCGTCGTCGTCCGTTTAACAGCAGTCCTCGGCACACTGGCGCGGTTAGCTAGAGCCGTGCATCGGCCTATCGGAGTGACTTACCTCGCAACATTCCGCGCAGCACTCGCAGCCCTCCTCACAGACGAAACAACAGCAAAGAACTGCCAAGCAGGTACCCAGGCAGCCACGGTCCTTCTTCTCCTTCACGATAACGGTCTGAGGAGGTTGCTGCGGGTATTGCATCTACAAACTTATCAGCAGCCGCAGCAAGCGATACGGACATGTGCATCTTCTTACCTGGGGTGGTGGGCCCTGAGGGTAGCCCTGCTGAGGGTAGTAGCTGTGCCCAAGTTAGCTGTAAGTCCTGTCGCAAGGCGCTTCGCAGAATCGCAAGGACGACGAGCGCTCCACGGGCACGCAGTGAAACTTACGCCTGCTGGGGAGGCGGAGGGCCGCCGTAGTAGCCTTGGTTGGACATGATGAATTCCGGTCTATGACGCTGTCAGCTGGATTGGCGATCGCGACGGTTGGGCGCGCACTCACGAGAGAAGTGGTGAGTCGAAGGCGACGGGTGTAGTGTTGCAGGTGCGGAGAGGGCGAGACGCGGAGTCGGGGCTGAGGCGTCGGAGGCGCGGGCAGCAGCAGATTATGGGTGCAAGGGAGGGTAGGTGAGAGCGACAAGGCTGTGATTTATCCACTAGCAGAAGGGCGGATCAGCACCAGACTCAGCGATTCTCGAACCCGCCACAGTCGGCGGTGCACCTGACGCTGCCTCTGCACGAGCTCCCGGCCGGTGACCCAGCGCGCCACTGCTGCGCCTGCGTGCGGCGATTCGCAGCGGTCGCAAGCAGCTGAGCCACCGGCCCTGCCCGCGCTCGCAGTGACGAGCCGACAAGGCGAAGCTTTTCGCGCGCGCTTGGCTCGTCTTGGCTTTCGCACGCCTCGGCACCTCGAGGCCGGCGCACGTAAGCGCTGCGCCCCGTTCTGGTGCGTTTATTGGCTGCGCAGTCCGCGGACTTCACGCTCGCGCCACCCCAGCGTGGCAGCTCCCAGGCATCACGGAAGCGACAAGCCGACACCGCGTAACAAGTGGCCGCATCAAGCACTGCGCTCTGCCAGCCCGATGAAGCCTTTTCGTCCGCGCGGCCCTCTTGGCGTGCAGCCTGCATGCCGTGCGTTCCGGCCTGGCTGCCTCGCCGTTGCCTACCGGCTCGCACCGCCAGCGTCAAATGTCAATACGAGCCGCGCCCCAGCCTAGCCAAACCATCCTTCCCAAGCTTGTTTAGCCCGCGCCGTCGAAAAAGCATTATTTGACGCGGAAAGCTGCCGTTGCTGCCCGTTTCCTCTGACGCCGTCGCGCTCACGGATCACTCTTCGCTACTTCGTAATTACAAGGACGACGGCGCCCCATCGCCACATGATTCCATGCAACAAAGCTCCGGCCACACTAACATGCACGCGTCTTTAAAACGACACGCCTTCACCGCCCGCATGTGCTGTGCATTGGAGCAGCGACCCATGTTCGTCCCGGCCAAGCTCATTTGGATCACCACCGCCTTATATCCGTCTCCGACGTGCCGACTGGCCCTCTGAAACTTTCGCGCAACCACGGCGAGACGCTTTCATGCAGCCGAGATTCAGGGTCCACATTGCTTGTTTCTGCCTGGCTCTCATCTCATTCGCCTGACACAGTCGTAGGCTATGCGCTGATCATGTCATTGTACCGCACTGACATGGAGCCGGTAAATCTTTATTTCGTATTCGTGCCCACCTCTTGAAGATCTCTGTCCAACCTTCTGAGGTGCTACAAACCACAACTTTGGCATGCCAAGAGACGACAGACCATCACACTGCAGTAGCCAGCTTAATTACTTCTTCGGGAAGACAACTTGGAAAGCTGGCGAAGGATTAGATGACCGTCCAATACCGGAGCGCCGATATTTTGATTACGAGATCCAAGCGCCGACTGATGATTCGAGGGCGTGTGGTAGGCAGAGGTGCTGTCGTAGCAACCACTGGAGGAGTAACAATGCTTGGACCCTGCCGAGACAGGTGGCGCTTGTGCTGTTGTCAGTCCTGTCACTGTAAGCCGGCGGGACCCGTAGCGCAGCGGCTCGCAGCCGCCGGTGAAGAGTTTGGATCCTAAACGCTCAGGTGAGCAATCCTTCGCCCGTAGAGAGTTGCCATTCGGTGGAATTCTGGCGGATGGCCGCAACACCATGGATTCCGCTGTTTCCGAGGATTATCAAGGCTGCTGTTTGGGGATGGTCCGTGTAACGAGGCCAAGTAGCGAGTCACAAATAACCAGACATGCTCATGAGAACCGGCATTCAAGCAGCATGGACTTCTTTCTGTGTATAGACCCGATGTTTTAAAAAGCTGCTATATGCGTCGCGAGAACCAAAGATAAGGGTCGTAAGAATTCAATTGGCCGCACGCTGTTCCACACCGCTAGATCGACGGCAGCCATCGCCGCAGAGATCATCGCAGAGTAGCTCAGCTTGCTGCCCACTTCAAGCACGATTAGTAAGTGGGGAAGCTGTTGAATAGCAGTCGCTGGGCAACGCTGCTGGTACACCCCAGTCTAGTGGTGAAGTAGCTACAACTTGAGAGCGCTCCATACGGGATGAAGCTCGGAGAGAGTGTTTGGAGAATCTTTCGGTTCATTTACAGATTTAAGAAGGAGATGTAGCGCTCACGGCATGGAGAGATTTATTTTAGACTTCACTGGCGAAAGAGAGTTCGATCGTAGGGTTGCCACGTAGAGAACGTTGTCGCTCACTGTTAGCGCACAGCCTTCCGCCAAAATGCCACTTCCGAGATACTTGACCAGCAAACTTTCTGCAAGGTACGATATAGTGAGCTTATACGTCGCTCCAGACTTTGAGAGTGCAAAAAGTAGAGACACTACAGTAGAAATATTGCTAGACCAACGTGAAAGTATACCTCAGCCAGAGTCGTTCTCTAAAGGTATAGAAAATGAGATGGGAAAAATATTTAGGTTATCTATTCTCTATGGATACTGTAAGTTGTAACTGCTGCAGCGTCTTTATTACTTTTAGCGTGACATATGTGGTAAAGTTGGGCATGATATGACACCTTCCTACATACGCAGACTATTTTTTTGAAAAAAAAAAAAAACTCTCGAAACTTAGACACTTTAGATAAGCTTGCTACGTATGAAAAGAATCCAATCCTCAACACATTGAAAAGTTGACATAGAGCTGGATAAATATTTGGTATAGAGCAAAATATGTTTCTTGATGTTTGTTGATTGCTTATTGCAGAACCCGTACTTCAATTCCCTTAGAATCATCAAATGCTCAAGAATAAGAATAAGAAAATAAAACCAACAAGCACATAAAAAGGGCGAAGCAGTTCAAAGAGCTGCCCAGTTACAACATCTCGAAGTAGGAGGGGGGCAAGATCGATGCGGAATTCGCATAGATCGAGAGGGGGAAATAAAGTCCGGTCGATGTCCGGGGATTGCACTCGGACATCGGAGCTTAGCTGCGGGTACTAGAGCGGGACGCGCAAGCGCCACACCTACATTGCACTTCTCCATACGCTCGTCCTTTGATCTCCACAAACCTCGCTTTTCTTCCATTGATCAGGTTGCCAAGAAGTCATAGAAACCTAGTTTTCGGAGCTCGTGCAGAGCCTCCATCTGGACTGACCTATTGAACGTCTCGAACGAATAATCAAAGCCTTCATTGGCAAAATCTCTAGAAGTGACATTTGGTCTCGCAGCCCGGTCCGAATCCGAATACGTCAGACAAGAGATCGGCCATACTAGGGATGCCTGGATGAGTTATTAAAAAGTGAAAACTATCGGGCCAGCCACTAGTCCTGGTCAACTATCCCGATATCTTAGCACAGCTTCATCCGCATTGAAGTGCCTGAGACGGGGTTGGAGAGTCTAGTATCATTCTCTAAAAAAAAAGTGTGACTTCTATACTTTCAATACTGCTAAGCTGTCACGGGCATGAATTATTTACATTATAACCCGTTCTGTCTCTAGGAGAAGTATCATATTCTAACGATCGTTGCCTGGGTGTATGCGCTCGCTCAGAGTTCCTCATGAACTTGCTCATCACCGAGCCCTGCTGCGCATGGATTTTAGCCCGATAAGGGTGTGGTTGCTCACTAAGTTCTCATCGATAGATCGCCGTTATGCGCAAGTTATATGGATTGACGCGTGCGAAGTCCACGTAAGCGGGGAAAGATGTGCGGGGATCGTTTATTGGCACATGGGCTACGCAAGTAGTGTCAATTTAGAAGTCCTCAAACAAGACAGGGATGTTTGCTAGTGTCTCCGCGAACGGAATCCCTAGATCGTCATTGTAGCAGTGCGTATGGAGAGCCTAAGGGTGTGCAGTCTATAAATCAGGGGTCGGTTGTCAGAAGCCACAGTACCTATCCTCCCATCATAGCACTTGCATTCGTTTACCGCTGAGAACCATTCACTTTCTCTTGGGAAGAGAAAAGCTCTCTTTCTCTCATTTCTCATCCCCGTCCATTCGTCCATTTCTTCCTCAACTTCGTGATTAGAAGTTGTTTCTTGGAAAGAGAAAACTTCATGATGATGTTCAAGTCTTGTCATATTCTCCTGGCTCTCGTAGCTTTTTCGAACCTCGCCGCCACGGCTTCATCCTGCAATACCACCGCACTCAACACTACGACCGGCCTTTACTATATTTCTGAGTATGGCACTACGATCTTCGATATAGCGAATGCCACCAACCGCGGCGTGTGCGACATCGGCCGCCACAACCTCATGGCCGACGTCGAAATCATCCCCAATGTCGGGCAGGAAATCCTCATCCCGCCTGAGGTCTGCGAGCCGGACAACGAAACCTGCCTGCTGCCGCGGACCAACGCGACGCGGACCTGCATCTACGGCGGCCCGCGCCTGTACTACACGGTCAATGGCGACACGTACGAGGTCGTCGCGCGCCGGCTGAACATCACCGCCGAATCGATCATGGAGCACGCCAAGGACAATGAGACCGCTACTACCGCCCTCGAAGCCGGCCAGTTCCTCAAGATCCCGCAGTGCGACCCGAGCCAGTGCGTGATTCAGCCATACTCGTTCACGTACGGAGTGTACAAGGATCTCGCCGAAAAGTACGGCACCACTGTGGGCCAGATCATGATGCTCAGCCCGACGTATAATTACAGCAGCGTTGCAATGATGGGAGGAACGCCGCCACCTATTGGTTTGCCGATCAACTGCACGGCTTTGTCGGGAAATATCACGGTTTTGGACTGATCTATTTCCTGAAAGCCCACGGATTTTCTATCTAGGGCTCGTAACTGTATCATTTCTCTCGGCCTGGACCTAGTGGTAACGATGGCAGTCCAGCTGTACGGATTCTATCAATCTTCATAAGTTGGAACGCAACCAGGAGCTAGTGTGAAAAGACGAGTTTAGCAATTCTGCGAATTTTTCTCTTTCTCTAGTTTACGGGATATGCAGACGGAAATTCATTGGTTAGGTGACATTTTTTAAATGGATGAAGTTGTCGCTGATTTTAATACCAGTGACGTCATCACCCAGTCCTGGGATGCCCTTCATCAGTCGAGTCAGATGTGCAGTCACACTCATTTGCGTGCAACGTACCTATAGTCAATCCCTTGCATTCAGATCGTTGATTCGATCAAGATCGGCTCAGGCGATTCGAACAGGGTATCGTGTACAATCTGCCTATGCCTTAAGAGCAGGGATAGTGAAGCTGTGAATCATGTTTGGGTATACCTGCGTCGATAAGCGAGGGCATATGGTGTGACTTGACCAGATCGAAATCAAGCCCCTCGGCTACTGAGCTGCGAAGTCCCATCTGCACTAGGCATTGATGCTATCATAGCGGAGCTAATCGAAAGCGGGGGAGGGGATCGAGATAGCATCGTTGCAGGAAAAGCGACCGGAGAGCGCTCCGGCCAAACAGGCGCCATCTCAGCCAATCGCTTTGTTGATGCCGGTCTGCCCGCATTTTGAATCTTTTCGATAACGATGGCATCGAACATCCCCACATACCAATTGTGGAAATGTGGCTCGGATGCGGCCATGTTTGCCACTAACAGGAACCACTCAAGCCACAGGTATGACGTAGGATTGCGAATCCCAAACAATTCAACATACCTGAGACTGTCTCCAGATCGGGTCGCCATCACGCGCGGGCGCTTTTTTCTTTAGTCTTTTAAACCATGCCATCTGCAGCACGTTGTGGGATGTAGCGTGGTCAATTGTCTTTGCGGTCGTCATGGACCTCGGGCCCCCCTTTGCTCTCCCCAATACCTTGGGGGGTGCATCGATGGTGGTAGTGCCAGCAAGCACCACCACCACCCTCAGGCGCCGACGCAGCTTCGACACCGTTCTGCCCACCGCCCTTGACGACATCGTTCTCTCTTCGCTGCACGACCTGTTCTTTATTCTTTCGCCAAGCACCACCATCATCCGCGTCTCCACGAACTGCCTCTCCATTCTTGGCTGCGAGCCTGATCTACTGCTCGGTCAGCGACTGGCTGCACTGATCCATGGCGACGATGTCCACGTCTTCGCCAGTGAGTTGGACAACGCCATGCGCCTTAATGCAGCAGTGCCGTTTCGCTTCTACTGCCGCATCCGCAGTGCTGCGCGCGCTGAGAGAGACTACTCCGCTTTTGAGCTAGTTGGTCGCTATCAAACCAAGCTCGCGGACTCTCTATCTCCCCTGCATTTGATGACTCCACCACCAGGCATTTTCTCCATCACGGCACGACCCGCATTTACCACGAGAGGGGCGATGTTGGACGAAATGCTTGATCTGAAAACAGAAGAAATCAGACTTCTGAGCCGCATAGCAGAACTGCGGCAGGAGGGGGACAAGATGTCAACTTCCAACACTTTGAATTTACGCAACACTTTCCCGGCTGGAAAGTCAGCTCAGACGAGTGGTTTATCAACCAACCCTGCCCCCGGACAGGTCCTTATGGGAGATGCTGGGATACCCTACCTCACCAAGCTCGAGGGGTCATTTTTGGGCAAGACACCGACGGCCACAAGGCTTACGAAACGAAAGGTTGTGGCAAGGGAGACGGGCTGTGACGAGTGTGGTACCTTCAACACCCCTGAATGGCGGCTTGGTCCGAATGGACCGAAGACTCTCTGTAACGCTTGTGGACGTAAGATGTCGTTCGAGTCGAGAACTCAACGTCAAATGCTAATGTCATTTATAGTCAGATACTCGAAGGCCAAGAGAAAGGCGAAAGCATTTGTAAAGGAAGAACCAAAACTCAAAGAGGAAGATGTGAACATCAAGCAGGAAGAATGACTTACGAAAAGTGGATGCATGGGAATGACTTTAGGCTATTGTATTGGTAAAATCTATTGTAATCAGACAATGTCTTCAATTCAATACCAGAAACTCTAAGCACCCGCAGCTAATCGCCATAAACCCGACTTCCCGAGGGTATCCAGCACCAAAGGCCAGCGTTACACTTTTGAAGAATACAGGATTCGGATGAGTCACTCTTACAAAAATGGTATCAGAGCGGTGAAGAGCCCAATTGAATGCTAAATGTTAAGTATTGCTTCTGAACTTTTGTGCTATGCACCACAGGTATTCTGCAAAAACAGATGAATCGCGAATGGCTACCAAGAAGCCCCTTTGGTTTCAAAACCCCAAAACCGCTCTAGAGCTCTACTCGTCCAACTGCACATAGTTGGCAGGGAAGAGACCCGACTTGCCGCCGAACTCGCCAAACCACCAATCCTCATCAGGGAATTCCTGCGAAAAAAAGGTTAGCCATGTCAGGCGACGCAAGCGATATATGTGATACTTACAATGTTGGTGATGGTTGCTCCATCGGGGAAGCTGAGCTCGTTTTCTTCAGCAGCCTCGTAATCGTACAAGGCTGTGGCAGTGGGTCCCTTGCCACCAGCGGCAGCAGGAGGTGCAGCAGGAGGCGCAGGAGCGGCCGCAGGGGCAGCCGGGGCGGGTGCGGCGGCCTCGTCATCTTCAATCAGCTCGACGTAGTTGCTGGGGAACAGACCGGCCTCGCCACGAGAGTTCTGGCCCATCCACCAGTCTTCATCAACCATGTCGATGTTAGTGATTATTTCACCCTCGGCAAGCTCGATCTCGTTGTCTTCTGCCTTCTCGTAGTCGTACTGTGCGATAGCACGCTTGCCACCACTTTCCGCACCGGCATGAGCCGCACCGGCACCAAAAGATGCCTCAGCAGCGGCGACACCGGCTCCCCGCGCAGGGTCATGCTCCTCCACCTTCGGCTCGTCGGGAATGTGATCCCTGGCGGCGGACACAGCGGCAGAGATGGACTCGGTGGGCAATGCCGGAGGCGGCGAGTGCTGCTCCGCCGGCTCGAGCTCGGGCTCGGCGCTCCTTGCAACAGGCTGGATGATGCGGATCGGCGAGCTCGGGCGAACGTCAGGGGATGGGGGAGTGGGGCTGCGGGGTTGCGCAGGCGGAGACGGAAGCTCCACGTGCTCTTCAGCCGGGCGCGTGGGCAAACCAGGAACCGCGCGGCCCGCGTTCGGCTTGCTAGCCAAGTCCATCGGGGGCGGTGCAGGCTCATCCTGAGGCACTGGGACGGGTCTTGAAGCAGCAGATCCCATGGGGGGAGCCTCCTTGAAGCGATCCCGGAGTGCACCAATACCGCCGGCAGGCGATGCGGGAGCCTCTTCTTGAGGATGATCAACCTCACCAGTACGCTGAGCGCTGAGGTTACTGGCACCCGTGTGAGTCGTCTGCACGGGCGCCCAGCTCTTGCCAGTGTAACCACTCTTCCAGCCGCCGGAGCCGCTCTGCTGGCTAGCAATGGGTTGGGCAGCCGGCGGCGGGGGAAGGTCACTAGAGCCACTGAGTCCGCGCTCACGCGCCTTCTTCTCTGCCCAGAGCTGCGCCGGGGTCTTTCCACCTTCGTCTGCAAATGTCTTGCTCGCCGTTCCAATGGGAGCAGAAGCCGCCAGGGACTTCGGCGCAAAGGCAGGGGCAGGAGGCTTCGTGCCTGTGAAAGCACCCGTGTTTCCGAACTTGTTCGCGACCTTGGGCTTGGGCATAGAGGTAAGACGCTCAGGCTGTTGGTTGAATGCCGCAGACCGCTCTGCCAACGACTTGGGGGCTTCGTCATCTCCGCCAGTGGGAGCGGGGGAGATGTGCGCAGGGGGTGCAGCGGATGCCTTGGCTCGAATTGCCGCGATATCAACCTTGCCAATGGGCTCATACGAACCCTTCACAGGGGTGGGACGATCATCCTTCAGCTGACCCGACTCGGCGGCCTGTTTCCGAATGGCAGCAATGTCGACCTTACCAATTGGCTGATAGCCGCCCTTGACAACATCGCTCGGCGTATCGCTTCTGGCGGGGCCACTGCGGGTGGCATCCTCGTTCTGCTTGGTGAGATCGGCCAAATTGACCTTGGTGGGCTTGTATGCAGACTCAACCTTCTCGAGCTGAGACCTGGTTACTGGAGGAGCGTCGGCACCCCAACCATCGTGGTCGACGTTCTGGGCGGAGGGCGCGGCGCGCGACCGGGCGAGGGGATTGAAGCCGGACGAAGCGCCTCCGACACGGGTAGGAGTGAAGACAGGTTTGGATGCAACGGGGGGCGGAGGCCTGCTGGCGACTGGAGGAGGGGCGTCTCCAGCAGAGTATTTGGCGCCCGACGCGTCCGAGACCTTCTGAATAATACCCTCGGGGCTCAGGGCGCTCTCGGACCGGGCGGTGACCTGGACGTGGTATCCCTAGGGAATCATTAGTAGAAGATCGTCGGGGCGGAAAAAAGGAGCATACGTGGAGCAGCTTGGACACGGCGGCCAGGTGAGTGTTGAAGTAACCCTTGGTGCGTTCGGGAACACCTTCACCGCACTATGCAGCATTGTCAGCGCATTACAGCATCGAGGCATCTGGCGGACAAACCCATGCTATCAGGACGTTCTTGGGGAGGCCCGTGTTGGGGTCCTTGACCTTGACGAAGGCGAACTGGATGCGGCCGTCGTTAAGCTCGTCAATCAGGTCTGCCAGCTCGCCCTCTGTGTAGAAAGTATGTCAGCTCTGCTGCGACACGGGATGCAGCATCGGCGATGCGTACCTCCGGTAGTCTGGACCTTGAGAACGCTCTCCTTGCCGGCGTCGGGCTGGAAGGCGTTGGCCAGGGGCGCGGAGACGGAGAAGACGGCCCATTGTCCGAAGGTGGGCGAGGCGGCGGCGGCACCGGAAGGGAGGGGCGCATTGATGACGCCCTCGTAGCTGCGCCTAATCGTGGGGCCATTGGAGGAGGTGTTAAGAGAGGCCATGGTGGCAGGCAGTCGCGCAATAGAGGGGCTCCGGCGGGGGGGCGGGAGGGAGCGCGAGAGGGCCGCGCAGGCTGCAAATGCGAGAGCGGGGGCGAAAACGCAGGTGACGCAGTTCAGCGCGTGCAAGAGGCGTGTAGCAGCGAGCGAGTGTGGTGGTTGGAGAGAGATGGCGGCGGATGCGGTGGTGTTCGGGCTGCCTGCTTGGGCGGCGCTCAGCCGTGCCAGTCGTCATCGCCTCCAGCTGCGCCCGCGCGGATCAATCGGCGCCGGGCCCGCAAGACCTGCCTGCTGGGCACCCCCTTCGTTACAATACGCTCGAAACGCACGAACCCACCGCGAGTGGGCCGGCGGGGAAGGCGGGCGCGCGTGCCGAGCGCGTCCCGATTGGCTGCAAAGTGAGGCGGTCGAGCCGAACACCCTCAGAGCGTACAAATGAAGCCGCACGCCGTCCATCTCGCCCGTCGCCCACCCGCTTCGCTGCACTTTCGCTCCCTTCACCACCACCGCATCCCTGCCGCGCGCCCACCGCCCCAGGCCCGCTCTCCTATGTGCGCCCGCTAGCACCGGGTGCTCCCGCCGTCCGTCCGCGTCAACGCATTCACGCAGCCTTGCCGTAACGGCTGCTCTCCTATGGTTGTCGTGAGCTGAGGAGCTCGAGTGATGGAGCAGCCTCCGAGCCTCGCCGCGAGGGCCGGCTCGCCGCACCTCCGTCAGCCGTCAGCCTCGAGCGCTTGCGGGCCTTCCGATCGCATGCCCGAAGCACGAGATTCTCAGTCTTCCGGCAAGCGGAAAGCCGACGGACCTGGGGAAGCTCCTGACAAGCGGCGCCGCGTTACTTTGCCCGATCATCTTGCCAACATTCTTCCGCCTGTCGCAGGCCTGCCTGGGCAAATCTGGCAGAATGTCTTTCTTTACCTCCCTCCCGTCTCTCTCGGTCGACTGTTGCAGGTCAACCGCGCTTTCCATACTCTCCTCACCTGCGTTGTTGAACCCGACCCAGGTTCACATCCCATTTCTCCCTCCCTGCCCATCGTCAGCTCTGAGTCCATCTGGTCTTCCGCGCGCAAGACGTACTTTCCTACCATTCCAAGGCCACTTGCCGGCCAATCTGAGCTGAGCATGTGGCGTCTGCTGAAAGGCCGACGTTGTCAGTTCTGTGGCAAGAGTCAACGCCCTGAGCCGCACCCTGCCAATGCGTGGGAAGGAGGCCCGGGAGCTGATGGTGTTCGTGTCATTTGGCCTTTTGCCATACGTTCGTGCGGGAGATGCTTGGAAGAGCGCTCACAACCGGTTTGTCGTTTGTCTGGTGCTGTCGTCTTGTTCGTTTTCTAACCAGCACGGCAGGAACAATCTCTGCTTTTCACAATCTCTTCGACCGCCCTCCTCAAGGCACTGCCTTGCGTCTTCCTGACGCAGAGTCTGCATGCCGTCCCCTCGAGCATCATGAGCTCTACCTCCATCCCACCTTCTATCACCTGGTCGAAGTGGTATTATAGAGAGCATGTGCAGGACATCAATCGCGAGTTTGAGGAAGTCCGGGCGCTTGGACCTGCTGCCGGCGAGGAATGGTTCAAAGGGCTTGATGATATAGGCCGAGGAAAGATTGCAGATGCGGAGCGCTGGGAGAGATGGGAGCGTAAAGGTGGTTTCCACGACCTGTCGCCACCGAGAAGACAGACAGTGTCGCCTCCAACAATCGCGTCCAGCAGCCAACAGCCACCAACAGCTGCTACGTACGCGCAGGCCAGACAGCTGCCGATGAACGGCGTCCCACGAGCTGGTGAGTTAACTCTTCCCGTCCCCTTAGGCCAAATCGTGCGTGCCGCACACTGGAGATCTTGTAATCCGGCATATTCGAGATCTGTTGGACCGTCCACGCACTGCGAGGATACTGACTGCTGCCCTTTTCAAGTTTCCTCTTACTCTTCACAATATCCTGGCACTACAGCAGAGCAATCAATGGCACCGCAAAGCCTGTCTCCGGGTGCATCTAACCCGCTCCGTCCTGAACGGAGCATTCGGGATGCGAACGAAGCAAAGGCTGCCCGCAAAAATGAGATTGAGCGCCGTTGCCAGGAGCTCAACCCTCCGATTTCTCCGAATGTGCTGCGGCACATGAAGGCCTTCCAGGCAGCATGTCAGATCTCTTCACCCCTGACCGAAAAGGCGTGGGAAATGCTCAAACCTCGGCTTGAAGCCCAACGGGATGAAGCTGAAAAGGTTGAGCATGAGCGCGCTGCCCAAATGGCTGCATTGCAGGTCAAGCTTGAAGACCGACGTCAACAGGATGCTAGTATGAAAGAGGTTCGAGAGGTGTTGGAGCGTGAATGGGAAGAGGTGCAGAGACCGGTCCGCGAAAAGCTGGCCCGCTACGCCGACGAGATCACAAGTCGTGACTGGATGGATGGCCGCTCGCTTTCCAAGGACAATTGCCCACAGTTCGCTGCTGATCTCTTGATTGAAATTCGTAGCCGATTCTATGCCGACCTTGCCTTGGAGGACGAGGACACACTAGCTGCTGGACAGGAGATCCGTGAGGACCCTCCTACCGGACCCCCTACCAGACGTTTACTCCTGGAGAACATGAAATGGGTATTTGATAACAAGATCAAACCGCTAACCGAACAGTTTCGTAAGGAGCTTTTCCTCTGCAACGGCGAGGGTTGTGAAGGCAATCCGAAATGGTACGGCTTCGAAGGTATCATTCAGCACTACGGCGCCAAGCACACCACCGCTTTCAGTGTTGGCAACGTCGTTGTTTGCTGGAAAGAGGCCGAGTGGCCCGAGGAGCATCCATTCCACCCGGACCCCTCCAAGGCCAGATACGGATTCTACAATGGATATCCCTCGTCTTCAATGGCCGCCCAGCCCCAGCACGCTTACCCAACTTACCCCTACGGCGGGTATCCTCAAGGTACAACGTCGATGCCACCTACCACTGCGCGCACGCCTCATCCTTTCGTCACTCAGTCCAGCCCAGGACCTTACGGCCAATACGGAGCCACCAATGGACCCTTCCCGCCTCCTGCTGCCACTAGTGCTAACTTCTACGGCCCTCGTCATGGCCCTCCGCAGCCCTACGGTCCACCTCCCGGTTCCATGCCGCCCTACGTGGGCTCTTCCCAAGCACAATGGCATGACAGCCCGTACTCTTACGACGGCTATGCACAGTTCCCACCGCCACACGGGCCTACGTTCGCTCCTCCTGGCAATAACTTTGGCCCTCCCATGCCGGGCTATGGTGATACTGCTCAGGGCCAATTTGGCCCACAACCAGCTGCACCCGGACCCTATGGACCATACCGTGGCGGCTCCTCCTCCCATGGAACTCCCCCGGCACCTCCAGCTCCAGATTCCAGAGGACCACTGCCAACGAACGTGTATCGGGAGCAATTGCAGGTGCTAACAGATGTGGCTAGAGACTACTGGACATCCACATCCGGAGTCAAAGGTTTGCCTCCGAGTGTGAGGCTCTCTGTGGTGATCTACCACATCTTGTACCACTTCAATCTGCGGTTCGGTATCGAACCCAGCTTGGATCTTTTTGCTGATGCTCTTGATTCTCATAACTCTATGCATCCTCTTAATGCTGTTGCTGGTCTTCGTTGTAGAGCCTGTGCGTTGGGATTTCATCACCACGCTCCTACTTTCCATTCTTCTTCTTCTTCCTCCCACTCTTCGGAGAGGAATTTCTCTAGTCTTCTGTCTTTGATTCTTCATTTCAAGTCTGAACATATGGAAAGAGCAGCGCCTGGGATACACGATGTCAGTCCGGGACCACAGCTGGAGTGGAAAAAGGACATGATCGAGCTTCCTGACGACAGTGCGATCTCTGCACTTGTCCAAAGTCCAGGAATGGATGATCACAAGCTTCGGATCATTGCCGAAGCTTTCCCCACACTATTCCCATCTCCTCTCCCACACATAGGCATCGTGCCCGACGAGCCTGTGGAGAACGAGACGTCGGCGGCCCACCAGCCGCGGGATAATTCCCCGGCACGACGTAGGTTCACAGGTGACCATGCTGAACACCGTCAAGAACAACGTCAGGAGCCTACGCCAACACCACGCTCTCGGCCCGCACGTCTCTCTGGCCCTAGTTTCGAGGGTTCTCCAATGGCTCGCTCTCCGATGGCACCTCCTACTGCTCCTCCGTCGGGTGACGGTGAATATGATTCTCGCCGCCCTCCTTTCGAGTTGGATGAGCACAGAGCCTCGCGCCGTCCAATGGAGTATCCCTACAGTCCTCCTCGAGGGGATCGTCGGATGCGGGCGGTTTACTATGACGAGCCCCGATATTACGTAAGTTTTCTCCACTCACACTGACGCTCGCGCAGCTGACATGGTTTGTCAAGGTTGCACGAGATTATGATGACCATGGCTACCCAAGCCGTCGCTCCGATAATTACGTTCCTCTCAGTCCTGCTGCTTCACGACGGTATTCCTACTATGGTCGTGTATATGAGGAATCCTTGGATCGGCCTAGGCGAGAGGAGCGGCATGCTTCCGAACGGGATGTTGAAGCACATGAGCGTGTCCCCACGCGTGCTGGTCTGCGATACATCGATCGTCCAGAGCTCAGCGCTGCCCCTTCACCAAGCAACGCAGTCCGCCCGGAATCCCGCCAGAGAAACGAGGAGAATGCCGACGACAACAGCGTCAAGCAAGAGCCGCGCAGCCCAATGCCCCCAGACGTCGAAGCAGCAGCAGATCGATTCTTGGACGACCTGGCCACTGGGGAGCGGGTGCGCGAGTACGTGTCCCGGGCTGCTCGCGATGAAGATGAGATGGAAAACGCGGAGAACAGAACAAGGCAGCACTCCCGAGCACCAAACGAAGCTCCGGCTCGTTCGGATGATGCCGCGGACGGGCAGGGATCACAGACAAACTCGGTACGGGGCAATGGCTTTGAGCACACCCCCCGTGGTGGGCGATCCACCGCTGAGCCAGAGCCTGAGATGCGTCGTTACTCTCATGGACTAAGATACCCCAGAGATGAGGACTATGGATCACTGCGGCGGCGGGAATCCGAGTCACGTCGCTACACTTACGCGCCCTCCCGCTACCGCCGAGTGAGCATGTATCACGATGAGCCGTATCACTACGGTCATCGTATCGTACGTTCTCGCAGCAGTAGGTATGGACGGTACGAGGCAGCTCGTCGGCAGCTGGAGCAATCAAAGTCCCCGACAAGGGAGGGCACAAGCGTTCCAGAACAGAGGCAACGATCGGAGCGCCACAGCCCTGAGCCGCCCATGTATGACGCCCGGTACGAGCCGCACTACCCGAGTCACGCGCCGTCGCGAGACTACGTGCCATACGAGGACCGGGAGCGCTACTCACCTGGCCCTCCGCCTGGTTATCGTTACGCCGAGGCACCTCCGCCGCCTTCTTACGTCAATGAATACGGCGAGGTGATCGAGTACGTCCGGATTCATGACCCGTATCATGACCATAGATATGTCCAAGGCCCGCCTCCAGACGGCCATGGGCGCTACGTCGAGTATCTGCCGTACGAACGTCAGCGTAGGTATGAGCCAGTGCACGACGATAGGCACTACGTCTACTATCCTGAGCGAAGGCCTTACTATGGTGATCATGAGGCCCATCCCTACTACCCGGGACGTGAGGGACGTGACTACGAGGTGGGTTCATCTGTCCCGCCGCCACAACCGCCGCCAGGCCCGCCGCCCAGAGAACGTGAAGAGGAGAGACGAAGGGAAAGCGCATTTGCGGAGGATGCGGCTTAAGTTGAAAGGACATCGATATGCAGGTGATGGATTCTCGAAATATGTGAAAGATGTGCTCTTACTAGCATGTTTATGACGAACAACATACGAGTCAAGTCCCTTCTAATTCCTCATATTACTATTCCCCGGCGTTCTCGCTCACGATGTTTACTTCCCCATTTGCTTTAAAAAAATTCCTCTCGTATATTTTGGTAAGCTGGAGTGGGTTCACAGGTTTTGATTCATCGACATACACTTGTACAAATATCCTGCCCATTGTCCTGTTACTTTTCTGCATCCACTGCCGGTGTGGGGCGTCGGGTTACGGGAAGTGTCAAGTCTCACCGAGTCTTTTCACACCTCTCATTTTTTTCGTTTCTGTCTTATCCTCACGACTATTTCCTCCTTTAATAATGACAACGACCACATATAATTGAATACGCCACGCAATCATGGTTTGGCTTGTGGAATCTTTTAGGATTTCCTTTGGGGAAAAAAAAAGGGTGGGTGTCTGTTGAGGTCGTGGATTTGTCTCTCGGGTAGATTGAAAATTTCTAGAGCGAGGTATAAGATCATTTTACGTATCACTGCACCTTGTTCTATTCTATTTACCCCGAGAAAATATAATACTGACACGACAAAATACGAGTTGTCTGTAGAGAGGCTTTATGTGTTGAATAAAGCGGTAGGAAAAATTGTGAACGATGGTTTGAGCGAGTGCTTCTAATGCTTGAATGAGACCTCTGCTTGCATCGACACTTCAGCACAACATACCAACCCTCAGGCTTCCTTCCCACGCGGCGGCCCCATCTCCACATCCTCGGACTCATTCTCGCCCCCCATTAACTTATCTGTCTTTCTCGTCACCCTCCGCGCGCGACAACACCACGCACATCCCATCACAGCCGAACACAACCACAGCACCATACACACACATCCGATCCCCATGCCAACCTTCATCCTCCTCACATCCGTCGTCAGATCCCACTCCTCGCCCCCTTCTCCCTCCGGTCTCGCCCCCAAGTACGTCGAGGCGAAGACGCCGAAGTGGGCGGCCCACAGCACGGCGACGACGCCGTCCCACACGCACCACGCCACGACCTTGACCGTCACGAAGCAGTGGTAGGCACACGTCAGCGCCGACAGCGCCGCCACGACCTCGGCGTAGACCCAGTTGGTCGGCGCGTGCGTGCTCGTCTGCGTGTTGTGCGCGAGGTCGGCGCCGTACAGGCCCGCGACGATGATGGCGAGGACGAATTGGGTGGTGCGCAGCGTCGTGCGCGCGATTAGCCCGCAGAGGCCGGTCGGTTCCCAGTACTGGTCGAGCATGCCAGTGGCAGTGGCGGCGGCGGTGGCGCGGCGGGAGGAGTTTGGCGCCATCGGGGAGGGGTGGTGAGTGTTTCGGTGAAGAGGTTGGTAGGGCGCTTGGTTCATAGACAAGGCTGGTGGCGCTGGGATTGTTAGGCCTTGAACTTGGAAGGTATCGGTGTTTGCGACTGTATATAGACAGACCTTTGAAATAAGTTTGCTATGCTCGGAGTGCAAAGAGGATATACGGGAGATCACCGCGGGAGCCGAGAGACGGTCTGGTCGTGCTCCGCTTTTAAAGACTCGGAAGGGGGCCAAAAATAGCCACTGTTCTTCAAAATTTGGTTGATCGGGCCAAAAGCAGAGAAAAAATCTGAAGACTTCAGGAGAGGCGGGGACAAGGCCGAGGGTTGGGGCTTTAATTGGAGTCGGGTTTGGGCTCGTATCCAGAATACGTAAATTCCTACGAATACGTAAAATCAGATGTGACGCACTAGTGAAGCACTATTTTCGGGGCTTTAAGTCTTAAATCCCTTTAAAGTGCTCGATCTGCGCATCAGACAAGTCATTACTTCCCTCATGGCGAGCAGCAGTAACGCAGACATTGGGTGCCCCCCTCCATACAACGAGGTGGTGGCCTCTGGAGACGTCGTACTCGACAGCACCAACGTAGCAGGTAGGCTATCCTCAAAGCTTCAACACATGGCGTACTCATAACAATTAGACGATGGACGCGTTACTGTCGATGTGGATTCAAAGCTCGGCCGAACGCTGGCGAGGCTCATGCCCAGCGATCCTGACGATGACAGCTCCGAGCCAGCGCTCCCACTGCCTCCCCGTCCATGCGCCGTCAAGCTCAACATAGTCATACAGGTTGTTGGGAGCAGGGGAGACGTACAACCATTCGTTGCGCTGGGAACGGAGCTACAGAAGTACCACGGTCATCGCGTGCGGCTGGCGACGCACGACGTGTTTGAGGACTTTGTACGCTCTTCGGGCTTGGAATTCTACCCCATCGGCGGTGACCCCGCTGAGCTTATGGCGTTCATCGTCAAGAACCCAGGCTTGATTCCGAATCTGAAAAGCCTGCGTGCTGGCGAGGTGCAGCGCAAACGTGCTATCATTGCCGAAATGTTGGAAGGATGTTGGAAGTCGTGCATCGAGCCAGACACTCGTTCGAATGCCCCCTTTGTCGCCGATGCTATCATTGCAAATCCCCCAAGCTTTGCTCACATCCACTGTGCGCAGGCATTGGGTGTGCCGCTTCATCTGATGTTCACCATGCCGTGGAGCAGCACCAGAGCCTTTCCCCACCCGCTTGCAAACCTCAAGTTCTCCGCCGGCACAGACATGAAGATTGCCAACTATGTGTCTTATGGGATTGTGGAATTTCTGACGTGGCAAGGGTATGTTAGCCCCCCTAAGGAAGAATAAGGGACCCCATCGTGTCTGACGTACCCTATAGCTTGGGCGACATCATCAACCATTGGAGAAGGCATACTTTGCAGCTAGAAGCCGTACCGGCAACAGAAGGCCCACGCCTAGCCGAAACGTCCAATATACCTTTCACATACTGTTGGTCTCCCGCATTGGTTGCCAAACCCTCGGATTGGCCAGCACACATCGGTAAGCCTTCTTTCAACTCAGCTTCGCCTTTCCGATGCTGACACTTTGAAGACGTGTGCGGCTTCTTCTTCCGTGATCCGCCGGACTATTCACCTCCACCTAAGCTTGACAAATTCCTCCAAGCGGGACCTCCGCCTGTCTACATTGGATTTGGTAGCATCGTCATCGAAGACCCCGCGCAAACCACGGCAACCATCCTACAGGCTGTGCGAGCAACTGGAGTTCGAGCTATAATATCACGAGGATGGAGCAAACTCGGCGAAGAGACTTCTTCAGATCCGAACATATTCTATCTTGGAGATTGCCCGCACGAATGGCTCTTTCAGCACGTTGCTGCAGTTGTTCACCACGGAGGGGCTGGAACAACAGCTTGCGGACTGTTGAACGGAAAGCCCACGACCATTGTACCATTCTTCGGAGAGTAAGTCTACGTCATATCTAGAGGATGAAAACTGTCAGACTAACATGTGGTGTCAAGTCAACCATTCTGGGGGCACATGGTTGCTGTAAACGGTGCCGGACCGGAGCCTATCCCATACCGACACCTGAATCCCGAGAATCTTGCGGACGCTATATCATTCTGTCTGACGGAGCAGGCGCTTGTTAACGCTCAACAGATTGCGGACCAGATGAGGCAAGAGTCAGGAGTGAAAGCTGCTGTGCAATCTTTCCATACGCATCTACCCAAGGATTTGGGCTGCGATGTGTTGCCAGATCGACCTGCCGTGTGGAAATACAAAGAAGGCAAAAGATCAATAAAGCTCTCGAAAGAAGCTGCGGTAAGATTGTCAGAAAAGGGAAAAGTGTCCCGTAAGAGCCTCAAACTGTGAGTAAACCAGTTCCATACCTGAAACGAAGCTCACGAGTATAAAAGACTTCAAACAAAACCCATTTATATCGACAACCGCCGATGGGATCCACTTACTGCGGTCGGGTCTGCGTCTGTATCTACCGCAGCCGGCATGGCCGACGCAGCGGGTGGTGTCTTCTTAAAGCCAATCAAGGAGTACAAGCGCGCGCGCTCGCGTTCTTCCAGCGCTCAGCCTCCCTCCATATCTTCAGCATCATCAAACCACGATACCCCGGAATCTTCCACAGCGAGTCTTGATACCCTTCGTCCATCCACGCTCTCTGGAAGAACTCTCTCCAGCACCTCGGCCGACCTGCGTCCCACAACCGCCCCTACCTCGCCTACCACGACGCCGCCATCCGAAAAACAAGACATCACATCCTCAAACTCATTACCTTTACCATCATCACGCCGCAACTCCACTTCCACGCAGAAATCAGCACCACCGCCCACCAGCAGCAGCAGCAGCAGCGCACCAACCGACCAGCTCACCAGAACCAACAATAACAACAACAACACCGCCGCCGCCATGGCCTCGGCCTCCGCCCTCTCCCTCGGCAAATTCTTCCTCACCGGCGCGCGGGGCGTCCTCGTCGACATCCCCCTCGCCGCCGCCGAAGGCATGCGCGCCGTGCCACGCTTATACACCTCCACACCGACGTCCTCCGCCCGCGACGCCTACGGCCACGTCACGGACGTGCGGTCGGGCTTCGCCGTCGCGGGGCGCACCTTCGCGCACGGCGTGGCCGAGGGCTTCGGCGACATCTTCGTCGAGACGTGGCGCGGCAAGCGCGAGGAAGGGGCTAAAGGCGTCGCGAAGGGGTTGGGCAAGGGCGTCGTGAGTTTGGGCATGAAGACGGGGGCGGGTGTCGTGGGGGTGTTGGCGTATCCGGGGTTGGGGGTGTGTAGGAGTGTGAGGAGTATGGTGAAGAGTGAGGTGAGGAGGGGGGTTGAGAGTGCGAGGTGGGTGGAGGGGGAGTGGTTGGTTGCGGAGAGAGCGGCGGGGGAGGAGGGGAGAGGAGTGGTGGGTGGTGTGGATGAGGTGGCGAGGGCGTGGGAGAGGGCGGTGAGGGGGAAGGGGAGGGAGGGCAGCTGAATACAGGGCGCGATGGTGGTTTGGTGTCGGGAGTTGTGGGAGTGAAGTGTTGTTTAATATTGATATCGATGAATGTTTTGTACCTTTCAACTTGTATTTTAACCATAGAAATTTACAGTACGAGATATCGGGCTGTTCTAATCCGTACATAGCCGGGAGCCGCTGAGGTAATGTTTTAAAATGTGGCTGTATTTTTTTTTCTTCACTGGACAGTTTTGTTCAAGGGTCAAAAGTGTCTTACCTGTACAATTAACTTCAAGAAGCTGACAGCTCTTCACACTCTTCAGAAGAGTGGGGTTTGTGGAGACGATGGGTCGCTCAGTCCAACGGTCATCCGTGATCGTCGCTGTGCCACGCCTACGCCGCACTACCTGCCTGTCTGGTGTGCCCAGGCGGCCATACTGTCGGTAATAATATGCATGGGCCCATGGTTCAAAAAGAGGGCCCGCCCAGCGAGCATGAGCCAAAGCGGGGTTTTGACAAACTCATTTTCTTTCCTCCAGCATCTTGCGACACCCAATTCCGCATGGACCAACACCTACGAACCTTGTACATGTGAGAAAAATATGTGCAATCCGGAGACACAAACTACCACGCAGGCCGAGGGCTTGCAGAACATTGAAGTCGACACCGGTGTACGTAACCACGAGGCGCATTACACATAGGTGGCTGGTCCTTGGCCCTAGGATAAACTTTCTGCCCGAAGGTTGTGGGATTAAACTCGCCAATGGTCGCTACCGTTCAGCTGGGCCTGAGCTTCACTAATAGCAAGACTCAAATGATAGCTCGACACGGATTCTGCTGTTGGGAGCGTCGATGACCAGCTGTATTGTCGCACCTCTGTTGAATGGTTTCAGTGAAATGCCGCTAATATGCTTAGCTCTGCGTATTCCCGATCCTTGACATCGAGCGTTACTGCGTACCCAGTCGAACACGGTCGTCGATACCATGCTTACAAAGATGGCTCTTATTTCATGCCCAATGATGAGGTAGGATTTCGAGAAGCATCTCTGGGAAACTAGTCCTCTGAAATTTTACACAGAACGAACAAGATCGCCTTGACCTGATGCATCATCTCATAAATATCCTCACTGATGGGAAGACCTTCTTCTCTCCCATCAAGAGCGAGAATTTAAAGCGTGTTTTGGATGCTGGCTGCGGGACTGTAAGAGCTCGTTGCCCCAAAAGCCCACTGATAACCGAGATACTGAAGTATGACAGGGAATATGGTCCATCGAAATGGGTATGATTTTGAACCAACTGTGTCTTTGTTGCTATTCAGCTGATATTTCAAATCAGGAGACAAGTATCCCGGAGCGGAGGTGAGATTTCTTTTGAAAACAGGCCTGGTCAAACCAGATTGCTAACCACTGAAAGATTCTTGGCAATGATCTCAGTCCGGTGCAGCCGTCATGGGTGGTAAGTACATGAAGTATCTTGTCTCGTCATCACTGACTTATCTCGGCTCTCTAGCCACCCAATGTCAAGTTCGAGGTCGATGATCTCGAAGCGCCGTGGAATCATCCAACGCCCTTCGATCTCATTTTCTGTCGGTACCTTGATGGAGCCATTTCTGACTGGCCTACTCTTATATCCAACATGTTCAACCATACCAGGCCAGGAGGCTGGGTTGAGTACGAGCTCCACATTAATGTTGTTTCAGAAGCTTTTACTAAACCGCTCATTTCAGGCTCCAAGGCTATGACGCGCAATATAGGTCCGACGACGGCACTTTGAAGGCTGAATCGTATCTCAACCAGTATGTGGACACGATAGACAAAGGAATCTCCAAAATGGGCAAGGTGCTGTCCACTGGCCCGCTTTTCGAGGGGTTACTGAAAGATGCTGGGTTTATCAACATTCACATCCACACATACAAGCTCCCCATTGGCACGTGGCCAAAGGACAAGAAGATGGTACGTCCTACGTATTGAAGTCTTGGAAAACTTTTAAGACTAACTTCCGGCAAAGAAAGAGGTCGGCACTATCAACACATTGCAGTACCTTGAAGGCATGGAAGCATTCTCATACCGCCTGTTGACCTCTGTCTTGGACTGGAAACTCGAAGAGGTGCAAGTGTTCAATGCCAAAGTTGCGGAGGAGATCAAGAGCAACAAGGTCCATGCATACTACACTCTGTAAGCACGCATTGCTCCATGCTGTGTGATGTACTAACAGACTCCTCTACAGCTACGTTGCTTACGGACAGAAACGGAAGGACGATGAAGAATAAAAGCTCATCAAAATGGCTGACAATGCATCCATGAAAGTCATAATGGAGGACTCGAAGGGTTGTGCAGTATATCTGTCGTTTAAAATTTCTTTGCTCCGTCAAGGCCAGAAACAATCAAATTCAACTTTTCTCACTGTTACATTTACTATCAATTCATATTTGTCAGCGGCATCTGAGGACCAGTAGCATGTTTTCCAACTTGTTACTATTGCGGCGTATATTAGCCCCCACGCTGCGCCCCACACATGCTAGTCATGTCGGCGAAATGACTAGCATGTGTTGGCGGCGCTTATATATGCCCAGTATTCGCTGTTTTCTGATCCTCGACATACCTCACGATCATGCATAAAGTGGACTGCTACATATCATGGATGACCACGATCTAAGGTATGGAATCAAGCAAGAGAAACTCTAGCCCGCAGGAACTGACTGACCGCAGCATTCCTCTCGTTCCTCTAAAAACAAAGAACGAAGGTTCTACTTCGACCCAGACGGATACTGAGAAAAGCAAGCCTGAACTCAATGTGGACGGAAAAGACGACCGACCAGAAGAAAGAAAGCGCTGGCCTCCCAAAGCGCTTCAGCCCTCGTGGGATTATCTTTTACGGAAGCAAGAGGCCGTTTCCAAACATCTGCCCCAGGGATGGAAATTTGGCGCTAGTGTTGCGGTGATTTCATCCAGCTGTGCACTGATAGCTAATATCACCGTTGCCGCAATCTGCTACCACATTCTGCGCCGGCAAGGAGTCAGCTCATACATTGCTCCCATCCGCACTGGATCATGTGATGACATGAACGGATTGAGCACTCGCATCCATCTTGGCATCAATATTCTTAGCACGCTGATTCTGGGCGGTAGCAACTATTGTATGCAGGTGATTGGGGCGCCGACTCGGAAAGATGTTGACAAAGCTCACCAGAAGCGAGAATGGTTGCATATTGGCGTTCCAAATCTGAAAAATCTGAGGTTCATTCCAACCAGAAAGCTTTGTCTTTGGCTGGTCCTGGGAGGGTCATCGATCCCTTTGCACTTGATGTGGGTGTTCGGCGTCTTACCTAAAGCGGTAGTACTGACTCGTAATAGTTACAACTCCGTCTTTTTTACATCTACAGTCACCAACTTCTACGATGTCTACCTTGGCACGGAAGGCTTCGTCAACGGATCTCAATTTGACAAGACATTGTTTCCAAATGCGGGTAGCAATACTGCGCCCGGTGGCTCTTATTGGCATCGATATGTCTCCAATCCAGCCAGTATACAAACGTCTTTGATGGCTCACAGCGACAATGCCTTCGAAACGTTAGGCATCGAGGATTGCATAAGAGCTTATGCAAAAATCATACTCCCAGAACGCCGGAATCTTATCCTCGTTGCAGCAGACGCATCAAAAGACGACGTCGATCCTTCTGACTGGCACACGGCGAAGACGTCTTGCGCATCCACTTCTGAGCAGTCAGTCAGAACAGAGCATCTGGGCTCAGTCAGCTGCGGAAATTCATCTCTGTACGCAGTAATGGGCTACGACATGGGTCTCATGCCTGCCATCGATCCAGGCGTATCCAATTGGTTCTTCTGGATCTGCTCACAAAAGTACAATTACGACACTTCAAAAGAAGACGTGCCGAGCCTTTGCAGTGACGGCGCTTGGAAAAATGCCAACAAGGATTCGTCATGGACTGTGTATGGATTCGAGGTCGACCACTGCCTGAGCGAGAAGGTTGACACTCAATGCAGCCTCAACGTCGGGCTGAATCTTCTCATAGCCGTCATTGTCTTCAATGTCGTCAAGGTCATGACCATCATCGCCACGATCATTGTTGTGAAAGATCGTCCATTGATCACGGTTGGAGACGCTGCCTCTTCCTTCATCAAAATTCCTGACGAAGCAACCAAAGGCATGTGTCTGTATTCCAGGGTTGATTTTGAATCAAAGAAAAAAGATGGCAAAGCATACCATCCGGTCGCTGCTCCGAGGAAGTTTGAAGTGAAGCAGGAACGCTGGTCCAGCGCTGCGAGCAAGCGTCGCTGGCGAGTAGCAATATATCTGTAAGTTCCCAAACACAGTGGAATCAGAACTGCATTCAGTCACTGACAGCTCAAAAAGAACAGGCACCGCCCTCGCAGGAATCCTCTCCTTCTTCCTCGTCGCCATCTTTATGCTAAACGGGCAATACAACCAACTCTCCAAACTCTTCAGCGTCGGCCTCGGCACGCTCAACCCCTACACGCTCATCCAAGGCTGGGCACTCGCCAGCACCGGCGACGCCGCCATCATCCAAACCGTCCTCATCGCCAACTTCCCACAACTCCTCCTCTCCTTCCTCTACTTCGTCCTCAACAGCCTCTTCACCAGCATGGCCCTCGCCGCCGAATGGTCGCATTTCTCCTGCTCCTCCTCCTCCTCTTCCTCCCCTGCCCGCGGCCTCCGCGTCACGCACCCGCGCGGCTCCCAGCGTTCAACCTACTTCCTCTCGCTGCCCTACCGCCTGGGCCTGCCGCTCCTCGCCGCCTCTACCTTTCTGCACTGGACCATCTCGCAGAGCATCTTCGTCGCCCGCATCGAGGGCCGTTCTGCCACCGACGGCCCCGCTAACCTCAACGACCTCGAAGAAACCAACTGGCAGCCCGTCATCACCACCTGCGGCTACTCGCCGCTCGGCATCTTCCTCGCCCTGCTGACCGTCGCGGCCGTCGCGGGCGCGGCGCTCGCGCTGGGGAGGTGGGGAGGGGGGTTGGGGACGGGTGGTGGGATGCCCATCGCGGGGAGTTGTAGTTTGGCGATTGCGGCGGCGTGTCATGCGCCGGAGGGGACGGAGGCGGAGGAGGTGGTGAGGTGGGGGGTTGTTGTTGGTGGGGAGGATGGAGGAGGGGGAGGAGGAGGAGTGCGTGTGGGGCATTGTGCTTTTTCGAATGGGGAGGTTGGAGAGCTGGTGCCGGGTAGGCTGTATGCGTAGGGGCTATGGAGGAATGATGTAAGCGGAGGCAGACTTGGAAAGTGGCTGCAGCGTAAAAGTTGTATGTTCATGGTACCACAATGAAGTGAATTATTGAATAGAGATTCGAGATATTCTACTTATCTTATGAATATATCCTGTGGCTCCTGGTTCTTTGCCAGAAGGTCTTTCTGTGCCATCTTATCTGCATAGCTTGAAAGCTTTGCCATTCCGATCCGCTTGAAGTTGGGCCCATCATCCAATCTTTGCAATAAGAGACACATCAGGTAACGCGATGTTCTCTTAACAGTCCGCTCTCCATACGCGGCGGGCATGCAGTAAATCTCTGCTGTCTCAGAAAAGATATCTACATCGGAATCTGGAGCGTCGAGGCATACGTTGGTAAGCTCTTTTTTCGTCTGATTGGATGGCGGATCCAGGGTCCCTCCATCCAGCCACCAGCCATAGGGAACCCTACGATGAGGCTCGAGCTTTCGAAGCGTGATCTTGTGAAGATGTTGTGCTGTGAGCTTGATGTACCCGGCGTTGTTCTCGTTCTTGATTAGACTAAACGCATCCGCGTCCGTTTTGCCGGTCTCTACGTATGGCAGATAGAATTCGATGACCTGGAAAAGAAGATCTTTGACGCCTTCGCTGTAATTTGTAGCCTCCCCATATACAATGCCCTGGGGGGCGTTGATGGATGCCCAGGAAAATGACGGCGCACATGTTGGATCGCGCGTTGAATGATTCTGAAATGCACCATTCTTGAACACTGGCTCGACACGCCATAAGAGCTGGCTTTCAAGATATTGGTTCCATATTCCCGCAACGTACTGCACGCCTTTAAGGTGCTGATCGTGAAACAGTCTTGCAATACCAGAGAGTGCAATCAGCCTATCCCTCGACATGGTAAGCTTGGATCTTGAATATTGTTCCACGATGCGCTTCCAAAGCTCATAAACGTAAAGATTTGGCAAGCCCTCATCTGGATCCGCAAGCCCCCTCAGACGAGACTCGCGCACAGCTTTGCCATCCACTTCGGGGTTCATTGATCTCTTGAATCCGCCACTGTATACGACTTCTGCTGACCTCATCATGTAGACCGGGACACCCTCTGGTTGACCTTCAGCCCGATCAAACTCAGCGCATTCCCAAGCAATTCGGTCTGCGCAAAAGTGGAGAACTCGTGGGGTCAAAAACCTCTCTTGAAACACCCATGCTCTCTGGTTGATTGGAGCGTCGTCGACCAAGTCTTGCCAGCTACTGGCGTCAAGGATTATACAACGTCTCAAAAGGTTGTTTACAGATTCATCCAATTTTCGGTGCTTGGCTGGAGGATACTCGTCTTCGAATCGAGAGGTCAAAGGCGAGGTCAACGGCGAGGTCAACGGCGAGGTCAACGGCGATCTTCCCTGTCCGCCCTGTGGACCTAAGAGTGCACCGACGTTGAGGTTGATCTCGTCTTCCCAAAGGCGATCAGGCTGACGAGGGAAGAACAGTCCTTTCTCTCCATCCACAGCCGCCGTCGCGGAAATGTTTAGGTACGACTCGCGATAGATATCGCCCATTTTCTGAGACTGTTCCAGCCAGTCCAGTTCGGCGACTCGATTATAATCAGGCTGACCGAGAATCGGCTGAATGATGCAAAGCGAATCTATCCAGACGTAGCCGACCCTGTCGAGGCGACTGGCAAAAAGCAACGCATTCCGGAAAGTCTCGGTGAATTCGCGCAATTCGATCCCTTCACCCCTGAATCTCTGCTCAGTCTGGCTTGTGAGTCTAATTTGGCGGCTTGCAATATCGGGCGGACCCCAGCAATGGCTTAATGTAACGAATCTGTTGCATCGGCTGGCCCTGAGTGTCGCATGGTCTTCTTCCACAAGTCTCACTCTAGTACGGTTGAGATCCGAGTTGAGGGACTGAAAAGTAGAGTCTTCTCTAATATTCACTCCGGTTGCGTACCTCAGCTCCTGGATGTCAAGGAGGCGTCTTGGGTACCACTTATTTTCAGTATTTTGCCAAGAGCTTGCGCATCTACACTCGGAAATCCAATCATGCGCCAGCTCGAAGACCTCATCCGACGAAGTATGAGAGGATGTAGGCGTCCTCAAGTAGACATCCTGTGAACCTGCTCGCAACTGGGTGTCAGAAGCTTTACTTGGCATGAAGAAGATGTACGTGCCTGTGGGGCGCAGCACAAAAGTTCTGATGCGTTTCTTGTCCAGCTCGAAATCAAGGCGATACTCAGCATCCTCCCACTGCCTGCCCCTGAATTGCGAGAGATGAGCGTTGAGGTAAATATCTTGATTTTGAGACAGACTGATTTCGCTCTGCAGTTCGCTTGCGAGCGCATCGCATATGGTGCAGCCTGCCTCTTGAGATTTCCGGAGCGTTTCTGTGCTGGTATGGTGTCGGAAGATAGGGTCGTATGTCCCATTCCATTTCGGGCCCAGTCCGCCGCGAAGCAGACGGACACATATTCTGCACAGCATGTTGTATGAGGGAGAGAAGAGACGGGGTTGCAGAGCCTTTTGAATGGGGCGCAGATCGCCAGCCTGGCCTGCTGGAAAGTGGGGCCCCCGCTGTCGTACATACAAGGGCTGGCTGGAAAAACGCGCGCTTACCTACATATTTAACGCCTGTGCCACACCCGCCATACAGCTATGTACTTCATGGCCCTACGCCTCAGTCGATTTTTCATTCAGCCATCCTGTTGCCTTGCGTATTCTGCCTAAATTACTCCGCCCGCTTGCCGCCATCTCAGCTTTGTCCGCTCTTTAACTCTTGCAACAGGCCCGTAAAAGGTTCATTCACCCTTGAACCTCTTACTGCCGCCAAGAAACCTTTCTTAGTAACCGCAGATGGACTCAGCACAACATGTAGCAACAACGTTCATCCTCCCGGGCTGGACCTCGGCGGTGCCAGTCCACATACGGCCAGACGCAGTCAATGACGGGCTGACGAGAGATCATGTCGAAAACTTCACCGCGTTCAAAAACTGGACCAGAACACTCAACAAAAACCTGTCCTTGCAAACGCAGCCCGGCCACGCCTCCCAGGCGGATCCCTGGAAACTGCAAGAAATCATCATCCATCACGTAAAATTCCAAAGCCCGCAAAGCATCCGCTTCATGACAGTCGAGGCCAAACTGCGACGTGAGTACGAACAGCCCCTCACGCTAGATCGCGTCGTCTTCTTGCGCGGCGGCAGCGTGGCGATGCTGATGATCCTACGGCCGCGCGACCTGCGCACCGAGCGGCAAGTCATCATGACCGAGCAGCCGCGCATCGGCGCCGGCAGCACCGCCTTCCTCGAGATACCCGCCGGCATGCTCGACGACTCGATGGAGGTGCGCGGCAAGGTGCTCGAGGAGATCGAGGAGGAGACGGGCTTCACCATCCAGCGCGACGAGCTCATCGACCTCACCGAGCTCGCCATGCGCGGCACCGAGACGCCGGACCAGCTAGAGGCTGGCATGTATCCGAGCCCGGCGAATATGGACGAGTACGTCACCCTGTTTTTGTGGGAGAAGGTGCTGGATCGTCAGGAGATTGAGGATCTGAAGGATAGGCTGAGCGGCTTGAAGAAGCATGATAATATGATTACGTTGGTCATTTGCAACTACGAGGAGATCTGGAGGAAAGGCGCGAGGGATTCGAAGACGCTTGCCGCTTGGGCACTATATGAGGGTTTAAGTAGGGAGGGGAAGATCCAAGACGAACTGTATAGAATACGCACGGGCCGTTCGAGATAAGCCGGAAGATTGAACGTTTTGGAGCTGAATGGAAGGGAGCTGAACTCTGACGACCGGGCCAAAATCATCCATGCGAGAAGGACAAGGACTGGGGAAGAACTCACAGGTTGGTATTTTCTTTAAATCCTGTTGTCGAGATAGATTGGTTTCTATATCTTATAAGGCCAAGATGCACGGCCCCTTTGCGTTCCCGCAAGCATGCTGAACCCTTTGATGACAGGTCAAAGCTCACTCGGAGATGCAGTAGAACGGGGTGGGATCGTTCCGAGATGTCTGGAACAGTCTATGCACGGAAAATTACCGCATGGCTGGCATGAGGCTGAGAACTCGAGGTATTACACGGAACCAGGCTGGCTCTCTAAGCCTCCACATCGCCAGATGGTGATCGATCATATGCGCACTTCACATTTGGCGCACTTGCGCATTGCTCCACACGCGATATTCGTAAATGGTCTGGATGATTTCATAACTCGTTGCTGTACTAGAAAGTTTCTGGATCTCATAAAGTCGACGAGTCAAAAAGTAGTAGAAAATTAAATAGGAGATGCGAAGAAATAAAAAGGAATGTTCCTGAACCAGCCATGAAGAACATTAAAGAGATGAAATGAAATGAGCTTGCTTAGGCCGTGGAAGGAATGGGGAATAGGTGGAAACTACCATCGCTTGGATTTCTCTTCAGGCAGAGACCATGGAATTTCTGCAAGTGACCTTTCAAGCCGTCCCTCCTCGTATACGACTTATCGCAGCCGTTAACAGGGCAAAGGAATGGCTCCTCAAGTTTCTGCGTGCAGCTGAACTTTCGATGCCTCTTCATGTTGCAGTTAATATCATGCAGGGTACCAGTAAAGGTTCTTCCGCACACCGGACAGGACGTAGTTGTTTTACTAGATGCATGAACTCCACCGCCGCTCTTCTCGATGTTTCCAAGAATTTGTGGTTGAGCGCACGCACATGGCCAGGTCGAACATGCGGGAGTACAGCCTGTGGAATTCTCGTCATAGGCTGCCACTGCAGAACCTATATGCATTGGAGTCTCTGGGGAGAAACCTTGACCGAAGAGCACATTTCGAGAAGGGGATGCTGCACATTGGTATGCGGAGTCACTCCCGCTAGATGGCGCTGGTGTTGCTGGAGTCATGGAGGCTTGAGGCCAAGACTGACTGAAGAGTGATGACTGAGCACTCTGATCGCTACCGGACGTAGCCTGAGATAGATCGGGAGAAAACTGAGTATGTTGCGGAAACAGTGACGGAGGGTAATGATTAATCGGCCTAACGTCAACTGATAGAGATACACCTCTTCTGAGCGTGGTATGAGGAGGAGCGCTGGGAAGAACCATCCGGCTTGAGAACTGGGTGTCTTGTGCAAGTGGCACTGATGCATTGTGAGAGATGCGAACGGCCCCCATGCCAAAGTCATTGGATGCATCAAGATGATGGTCTGACGTAGCATCATGGCTCGGCGGAGGTATTGGAGCTGCGTCTTCTTGCGATTGATGTCGGTACGGCTGTTGTACTGGGAAGTGCGCATACTCGGGAATCAATGGTGTCGGAGGAAGCTCATAGCATCCATCGGGCTGAGAAAGCTCGTAGCACCTCTCTGGTTGAGGAAGTTCGTAGCATGCCTCTGGTTGAGGAAGTTCGCAACATGTCTCCGGCAAAGGGAGCTCGTGAATCATCAACGGCTGAGGGAGTTCATAGATGAAATTGTTGGGCTCCTCCGGGCCCATCTGACTTAGCATTTTGTCAAAAAAGACATTTCCGAAATCTATCTCGGGATAGATGAAAGTTGTTTCGGGCGTAATGTCGGCCATGGTAGCGATGCTCTTGCGGTGAGTCGATCGAAGGAGTTTCCGGAAGAATTTCGATGCTCGATGCCGATGACAGTTCGAATCAAGAGCATTCGAACGCGGCGTGTAACTTTTCAGTTCACCTGAACCCTCGTGCACTCTCGGACTGCACTTGATTGGCACCCTCGCGTATGACTCTGGTACGGCTCGTTGGGGGATTTGACCGTCGACTCGATTGCCAAAGTTGCGGCCTGTCTTTGTGTGCCTCTCTCCAGCGCGCAGATTGTCGCCCACAGTCGAGATATGTTCAGTGGTAAGAAACTTCTGTTTTCGGTTGAAGCTTATCATGAAGCTGCCGTCCTTGGACCAAGCGATCACTATTGGAACCCATCTGTCAGTCAAAGGCATATCAGCGATGTGATCTTGGCGGGAGATCGTCCGTACCAACTTCAGTGTTTCCCGACGGTCGAAGTGGATCCAATAACTACCTTGCATGTCGGTTTGCAGGGAGTACTGTATGTTGTGGCGAGTATTGCAATGGAATTTGGGCTTCAAAGTGATTGGCAGAGCCAGTATACCGAAACAGTACAGGAGTGGCAAGGTGAACATGTAGCTTTATAGGAAGTAGACAACTGGCACCCCTCAAGCAGAATCAAACGAGCAGACTCTGGGACTCCATTGCTACGTCGTTGCATACGCCTCCTGCATCATTAGGTGTTGTGGTGGACTCCCTCGGCACGGCGTTGGCGATGCAGAAGACCTGGATTCGCGCGACTGCGTAATATTCCTCGGTAGGCTTTCTCATATCCCCTGTAGACAACTGACGAATAGGAACTCCCAAACTCCATAGCTCTTGTAGCGATTCGCTACCGGCTCATAGCTCATAAACCGTGGGACTGATCGTGCATGGAGAGCGTGTCACTATTCAGCAGGCAAAACGCCCTTTCCGTTGCCCTGACTTGACCAGGTCACTTTTACGGCCGGGTAGGTATGGAATTCAGCCTTGCGTCGTTCGCTTGATTTGGGTGGTGCAGAAGTTGAGGCTCAAGGATTCTGCCTCGGGTGGAACGAGACAGACCAACATGCTGTATGGTCCACCACGTTGTTGAGGAATCGAATGATAGGCCGTGGGACACGAGCGGGGAAGTCCGGTGAGGCTGAGCCATACCTGCTGGAGCTGGATCAGCCTAACCATATCTCTTCGTTGGGAGGAGGTCATACTGGATTGGGAACTTGAATGCTAGACATGCGTCATGAAGAGGCTCTTGAAGCAGCCCCAAAGTGTGAAACAGCCAAGGCTGCATCCGAGGTGCTGCAGAAGGGTCCTTGGGATATCGAGAGAGCGATCGGGACTCGAACGGGTGTCGGGAAGAGCCTCCCTTTATTAACACAGAGCAGTGAACTCGACATGAGTCCCTTCACTTAAAAACAGTAGCACAGAGTCCTCAGCGCGTAGCCATGTGCGCTTCCTCTGCTCATCTCTGGGGCCGAGTCTTTCAGCTCGATGCATGTGTGGTTGTGTCGCAGTTGCTCGAAAGATGGGGGTGAAGCGGGCTTGCAGATTATTGGTCAATAGCATTTTCCGTGTAGCGCGACCGGCGTCAGCGCACACGATTCTCTGTATGCCTTACATGAAACCTCTTACATTTCGTGCTGTGGCACGACATGGCCCTCAGCCATGTTCGGCCGAGAAAGTATCTTGCCAGACAGATGACGAAGAAGGCAAATTCACATGAGGCAACCTTATTGGTGGTAAAGAGAAATCAAGTATCAATTTCGATTTTTCGCCCGTTCGTAGGATTCCCACAAAATCATGCCCCCCGCTACAGATCAATTTCACTTCCAGGACGTGCGATATTCTGACGCCAATGATGAGCGTTGAATGGATCCTTTTCATAGACGTTCACCTCGAAGAACTTGTTGTGGGTCGAACACTTGAAGTTTTTGTACCTTCCGAAACAAATCAGTGATGAAGTTCCATTTTGACGTGGTTGCGCCACTTACGCATTCAGCTTCTTGTAGTTGGCTGCAATGAGATCCGATTCGGTGACTTCAACAAACGCTTCTTCTTCATCGTTCCCCTTGGCGACGGCAAAGTACCTCCTGCTCTCAAGCGGACCGTAGTTGACCTGCTTGACCAATTGAATGACATGAGGATAGCCGAGGTTTGCGAGCTTGTCTCCCTGCTCGCCAGTAGACTGCGCTGTTGCCTCTCTTGGGAAAGTGGCCCACTTCATGAAGGCGGTGAACTTTGGTTCGTGACTCAGGGCTCGGGGCCGGTAGGGTTCGGTGTTGGAGCAGCAGAAAAGGGCGGTCATCCTGGTAGTGAGTTTGAAATCCGATGAAGCTCAATGAGAGCACGAAGCTACCAAGCCATTCCATACTGACACGCCCTATTTATGTTTATCATCCTCCACACCCAAAGATGCCATTTTATCTATTAACCTGTGATGATTGGGCAAAGCGTCAACCTTTCACTAATGTGAGGCCTAACCTACGGCACTGTCTTGGCAGCTGAATCGAGTCGTCAACTGTGGAACCTACGATGCACCATGCTTTACACATAACCCTGTGATGAAATAAAAACGCCAATAGGAACGGTGATGCTGCTGTATACAGTGCTGCTTCCGATCTGTATTTCCGAGATTTTCCGCAGGCCATGTCATCTTCCTGTGAGGCCTACCCTCGCTATCCGGCCAATCAGGGAGCTGCTGCCACGCAGGTTAAGCGGGGCCAACTCGACATTCAAAAGCCAAATAACTCTTGTCTCTGCTCCATCTTCTTTTCTTTGCGGACTCAACGCAAGCCGTTGACCGTGTCACTCTTTTCGTTGATCCGCCCCTTCACCCTCCTTTTTTTCCTTCCTTCTCCCTTTTTGGCCTTGGGTGTTTTCGTCAGTCAACGCATAGGTTCCTGTGCCATATTCATTCTAAGAGAGCGGAAGCCGACAGCGACAAGTGACATCTGAGTTTCAAGACTACACTGGTTCATCTGCACGGGTAGAAAAACAACAACAACACGACTTTTGTATCAACCCATGGTTTTTGGACCGGCGGAATTTTGATCCAGATCATCAACCTTTCGCTACATCCTCAGATCCTCCTTCTCTGCAGGATCCCATCGTTGATTTTCCCGACACCGAGGCCTTTGATTCCGAACCTTCCTTCCCTGCTACGACAGTTATCGATGACCCCCTACAATCACAACCACCAACTTCTTCGACATATCAACAGCTTGTCTCTTACAGTCTTCAACAGCGATCAAGCTCCGGGTTGATTCCTTGTCCCTTGTGCCCCAAAGAATTCAAAAATCGCGATCAGCTCAGGTAAGACATCGATTTATTTGCGGACTCAGGTTTCGTCTTAGTTGTTGACTCTTATTGTAGGCGGCATAACAAGTGCCATACAAAGCCTCACAAGTGCGAAGTTCAAGGGTGTGACAGCGAAGGTTTTGGGTACAAGAAGGACCTTGATCGGCATATTGCGTCAGTCCATTCTGCGTCGGTCGATTCAAGCGAAGGCTTTTTCTGCAAAGCCGCCGGATGCAGACGGGCTCGGGAGCCCTTTAAGCGAAAGGACCATTGTGATAGGCATATGAGAACGCAGCACCCTGGACTGCTGGAGAATTAATTGAAGATGTTGTCGTTAGCCTTGGCGCATTTGAATCTGCTGTGAAATTGCCATAACAGTCTACTGTGAGTCTAGAGTAGCTTTAGTCAACTCAAATGTGCATGCGATTCTGTAGTATACTGTTGTACTCGTGTACACCCAGACTCCGTTGTCAAATACCATGGGCTCGACTTCAATCAGCCAGAGTGGGGTGAATGATCCGAGGTGAGAAGTACTGAGAATTATCCCAACATAGGCAATTCTTAGTAATGGAGGTATAAATAAATGTTTTGGGGTGAAGAAAGTGCGGACTCAGATCTTGATCCGAAGAAGGACTGGAGCGCCACAATACATCATGTACCATCGGAAAGCGCCCTTGCAGGGGCGGAGCTGGCCGAGATCGGTATTGGATTCCGCGTTTTGCCACGGCGGGTAGCATGCACGATTCCCGGGGGAGCGCTGATTGGTAAAAGCGACAGCCGAATTCCGCAGGGGGGGCGCGGGGTAGTTCTCATCAATCATCAACATCTTCATTCTCCGCGGACGTGGCATATTCGTCTCACCTTTTCAACGAAGACTCATAGCTCTGATGTTGCCGTGTCCTTTTACAGTCTCGAAGCTCAAAATTCGAGATTTGATGCATTCTGACGTCGCTAGACTCCCATGTCAGATCAATACATCGAAGCCGCTACACCGCCACAAGAGTCTCTGAGCAGCGAAGACAAACAAGATCGAAACATTGTTATCAACCCAACTCCAAGCAATGTTCCCTCAATTGTCCCATCTCCCGCTCCTGATGGCGGACTCAAGGCATGGTCACAAGTCGCAGCCGCGCACTTAGTCATCTTCAATTGCTGGGTATCCAAATCCATTCATCCATGCGCTGCACGGCTTGCAAGCTCACAACACCCCAGGGCTACATCTCCTCCTTCGGCCTCTTCCAGTCCTACTACACAACCACCTTCTCCGTCTCACCCTCGGCCATCAGCTGGATCGGCTCCGTGCAAATCCTCCTCATCTACCTCATCGGCACCTTCTCCGGGCGCGCCCTCGACGGCGGGCACTTCCGGTCCGTAGTGACGGCCGGCTTCATCCTGCAAGTCGTCGGCGTCTTCACCACGTCCGTGTCGACGCGGTACTGGCACCTCTTCCTCTCGCAAGGCATCTGCAAGGGGCTCGGCGATGGGCTCGTCTTCTGCCCGGCGGTCGCGCTCGTCGCGACCTACTTCACGACGAAGCGCAGCCTGGCCATCGGCGTCATGGCGACGGGCGGCGCGACGGGCGGCATCTTCTTCCCGCTGATCGCGCGCCAGCTGCTGCCGCGGGTGGGCTTCGGCTGGACGGTGCGCACCATGGGCTTCGTCGTGCTGTTCAACGCGTGCGCCTTCTCCGCCGTGGCGCGCGTGCGGCTGCGTCCGCGTCGCAGGGGCCCGCTCGTCGAGTGGGCGGCCTTCGCGGAGCCGGCGTACTCGCTGTTTTGCGCGGGTATGTTTCTCAACCTTTGGGCCGTCTTCCTTGCGTACTTCTACATCAGCTCCTACGCGCGGGATATCCTGCACGTCCCGTCCGAGACGGCGCTGACGCTGCTGCTCACCATGAACGCCGTTGGTGTCCCTGCGCGCCTCAGCTGTGGCTTCGTCGCGGACCGCCTCGGGACGGTCAATACGCTCATCCCTGCCGTCTTCTTTGCCGGTGTCCTCTTCTTTTGCTGGATCGCTGTCGGTTCGGTTGGCGGGCTGTATGCCTTCTGCGTTGTGTATGGCTTCTTCGGCGGAGGCATACAAAGCTTGTTCCCCGCGGCGTGTGCGAGCTTAACGACGGATTTGGAGAAGATGGGGGTTAGGACTGGCATGTGTTTTTCGGTCGTGTCGATTGCATGTCTTACTGGCCCGCCGATTGCGGGGGCGCTGATACAGAGGCACGATGGGGGGTATTTGTATGCCCAAGTGTTTGGTGGGGCAGCACTAATGGGTGGGACATTGACGCTGGTGGCAGCGAGGACTGCGAAGAATGGATGGGATTGGCGAAAGAAGATGTGAGACATAGAAAAGCAATGGAGAGAAGGGTAGGTGAAAAGCGGTCAAGTTTAGCCTAACACGAGCCTCTTGTTTCTTGCATATTTTCACAACACTTCAACAAGTTCCTACATAATGCTTGCTTGCTTCGCATAACAAGTAGAGCTCTCCTTTACTCACTACTCGATAATTTCGTCCGTTTCAGCCTCGGACCAGCGCCAACGACCATTTCCGTTTTAGTGCTTATGAAGCACTTCAGCCCATCATATCGAAGGATCTCCCTTACATAAAGAAGACCCCGCAACCTCCGCTATTTGCGTTTTATCTCCGTAACAATCTACATTTAAGACGAGCAGGAATACACATCTAGCCGAAACAACCCAATCACCAACAATGGCAGCACCAGCAAAACGAATCGTCCTCATCACCGGCGGTAAACCTCCACCAATCCCATCACCACCACACACACACACACACACTAACCCACTTCCCAGCAACCAGCGGCATCGGCCTCGAGCTCGCCGCCCAGCTCCTCGCCCGCACGCACCCCACCACCTACCACGTCCTCCTCGGCGCCCGCAACCCCACCAAAGGCGCCACCGTCCTCTCCACCATCCAATCCCGCATCCCCCCGGACGCCCCCGGCGGCGGCACCGCCGAAGTCCTCCACCTCGACGTAACATCCGACACGACCATCACCGCCGCCGCCGCGCACGTGCGCCGCGCCCACGGCCGTCTGGACATCCTCGTCAACAACGCCGGCACCGCCGCCATCGACGGGCACGACGACACCTCGACGCCCGCTGGCCTGCGCGCGCAGCTGCGCGAGTCGTTCGACGTGAATGCAACAGGTCCCGCCGTCGTCACAGCCGCATTCGCGGACTTACTCCTCTCCCCCCAACAAGAATCAGACTCATCACCACCACCACCGCGCCGCATCGTCAACATCTCCAGCGGCGCCGGCTCCATCACGCGGCGCCTCGACCCGTCGTCGCCCATCTACGCGCTGCAGGCGACCCAGTACCGCGCCAGCAAGGCCGCCCTGAACATGGTGACGGCGTGCCAGCACGTCGAGTTTGGTGCAGGCGCGAAGGGCGTGAAGGTCCACGCGTACGACCCGGGCTTCACCGTCAGCAATCTCGGCCCGCCGAACCGTGCGGAGAACAGCGGCGCGAGGCCGGCGGCGGAGTCGGTGGCGCCGCTGGTGGAGTTGTTGGAGGGGAGTAGGGATGGCGGGGATGAGGGGTTGTTTTTGCATAATACGGGGGCGTATCCGTGGTGAGGGGGTTTTTTTTTTTTTGTTTCTCTTTACCTTTGTGTGTTCTGGCGGCGGGCAGGCAGGCAGGCAGGCAGGCAGGCAGACGGGGACGGATAGACCGGAGATGGCCGAAGGGAAGTGGAGAGTGGTGGGGGTGAGCAGAGAGAGAGAGCGAGATAGAGAGAGCGAAAACGAACTCTCGGGCGGCACAGAAAGAGGGGGCTTACGGTCGAACCGCTAGGCAGCAAGGCGTTCCTCGTTGTTGCACGGTGCTAGAACGCACATGGAATGAAGGAAACCGTTTTTGATCTTCATTTCGGTTTTTGTTTTTTTCTGCCATCCCCGAACTGCCCATGCTGTGCCACAGCGATGACGCGTGTGGCGTGTGGGGTCCTGGGGCCGATGGCTGTGCATTGTGTGGGTCCGGCGGCTAACTATCTCGTGTGAACTTCTGCGGCGCGGGTAATCGCGAGGTGGTGCGGGCCGAGTGCTGGGGGCTGAGCCGGTAGCTGCCGGGGTTGCTGGCGAGAGCTGAGAGTGACGAGCAAGATGTGTGTGAAGTGGGAGAAGTTCTCGATTTGCACTCATGAAGCGAACTCTTCAGCACTCAAACTGCAAAGGGCAATGGTATACATAAAATATCCGATTTAGATTGGCGATATAGGTAGCAATAAAATCGTAGCATTAGAAAGGAAGGGGACATGTCTGTAGGCCTCTCAGAGGCGTCTACCAACACGGCCGATAAGGTTGCTTTTGCTAATATGTACATCGGAAGGATATGGACCAACAGTTGAAGCCTCCGAGTAGGAAAGTAAGAAATGACCACCCATCTTTTATTACTCCTCTCCAAACCGCCCTCTTGAAGGAATCCCCAAAGGAAGAAAAGAATCATTAGAGATCATCATCGCACATATCGATCATTAGCAACGACCACCCCTCAGCCTCTGCAGCCATCTCAGGCCTCACTATACGCCCTCCTGATCGAAAGACCATCGATCACACCCCTACCCGCTCGGCGTCTTTCACTCCTGGCGATGCCGTGCTGCTTCTCCTCGTGCACCCGCTTCGCGCAGTCTCTGACGAACGTCTTCCTGCAACCGAGAACCGAGCAAGACAGTCGCGGAGCAACCGAGTCTCGCTTCGGGCAGGCCAGCTGCAGGTGCCGCCGGATGTTCCGGTTGAGGTCGCGCGGCTTGCTGGTAAAGAGGTGGTGGCATCTCGGGCACCTGTTATCGCACGAAGCCTGCGGCCTGGGGCTGCTAACTGGGGGCAGTACGCGAGGAGGCGGAGCGTTGGGCTGATGAGAAGTCTGTGGGTGCTGCGATGGTGGTGGATGTGGCTGTGTTGGAAGAGCGGGTGGGGCGGATTGCTGTGGGACACGGGGGTGGTTGAGAGGTTGTGGAACGAGGCCCAGTTGGTCTGCTTGGGTGGACTGGCTGAAAGGGCTTCGAGTCGGCGCGAACGGAATGCTGTCGTTTATTGTTGGAGATGGGATGGGACGCGGGTCGACGAAGCGACTCTCAAGCCCTTCGAAGCTTCCCATCATGAGTGATTCCGGGGTCACGACGCTATCGTTACGCCTTCTGAAATGCACCGTATCCGGTGATCTGCCATTTTTGCTGTGGTCCAAGTATGCGCTCGAGGGAGTGAGCCCACTTGGTGGATACAAGGAAGACGGTGTGCCGAACGATGATTGCTTGGCGCTGAAAGGGGTGAAGCGGGTACCGGATGACGGTGTCGTACCGGCGATCTGGCTGTGCACGCTTGAAGATATGCTGCTCTGCCAGGATAGCCGCCTAGAGGAAGGATAGGAGATGTTCCTGCCTTGGATGTTCTCGGTCTGCAGAGTAAGCGTAGGAGGGTTCGGGCTCCTTGGTCCGTTGCCGCGCGGAAATGGATGGGTAGGATTAGAGACAGTGTTCGGCTGTGAAAAGCTCAGAGTCTGTGTTGGTGTTACGAAGTTCAGCTGAGGCTGCATGCTATCTTGGAGGACCGCGGATGTGTGATCCTGAATCGGTGGAACGAAAAGCTCGTAGCGGCCGACAGGCGAGGAGAAGTCATTTGCACCACCAAGAACGAGGCCGCTAGAATCATTCGACATCCTCGTGTTGCAGAAGCTTCCAGGCTGGCCGGTATTCTGTTCGGTTGGTAACTCGGCAGGGAAAGAGGAGCCAACTCCAAAAAGTTCTGTCATGGCAAAGTCGCATCCAAAAGGCTGTGATGCGAGTTGATTGTTTGGATGGCTGTGGTAGGATCTGCCATCGTCAAAACTGCCAGGCAGTTCATGTATACCAGATCCTTGGGCCTCCATTTCGACCGGAAGATGGGGGTTTGAACTGCGTCGACAGTGAGATACACGAACGGGGAGTCGCATCTTCTGTTTAACTCTTTTGAGAAGACCGTGACAGCGTTGACGAAACGGTTTTGAAGTGCCGAGGGAAGATGTGTTGAGGGGGGAAGCCGTCTCAGGCTGAATGAGGTCTTCCTCGACCGAGAAATGCGGCGATACGGGAAGGTAGGATGAACAAAGATCCGAGATCGGGACGCCTCTAGTAGTGGAATCCCAGGGTACGTAAGCGACCTTTTCTTCCGGAAAGGCTGAAGACGGTGACGAACAACGTTGGATGCCGGGTGCCGACGTGGTTTGATATAACTGGTTCCCGGATGCAACGATGGTTTGCCCGCAGAAGGAGTCAGCTAGCGGAGATCGAGGGCTGGTCGGTGAGCTCGTTTGGGTTCGGGCTTCTTTTGAACAAATACGGATGAGCGAGTGCTTGTGCTGGATCGTCTTGCAATCACAAGCGCAGTTGCGGCTACGGTCGATAAGACTAAGGCTATCGTCAGCCCAGACCATTAGTTGGAGCCAAGATCCGGGACGGCTCGTACCTACTGCACGGAGAAGAGCGTGGGAGTGGCCTGTTGATACATGATGGATTAGAATCGGAACGGCCGGTCAACTTTACGGTGAGCTGTACCTTGTGAAAAGCGAGAGAAGTCAGGCGAAGGGTGAACGAGTGTCGTGTTTTATGGTTTATATGGGCCCTTAATGCTTTAGGCCATCGGTCTTGGTGTGCTTCTCAAGTCCCTCAACGATGGGCAGGACGACAGGAGGACGGCACAGACGTGGGCGAAGTGAAGGGCGATGCTGGCGGGACGGGAACCACGGGAAGTGTGCCTCCAAGCTAAGGCGTTCACCGGCCTTGGACCATGTTCTGTAGTCCTTCGGGACGATGGGACGGCCGGCGAGGGCCCAATCAGAAATGGTGCGGTAGTCGCCGAAGCCCAGATGGAGATAATCGGGAAAACCTAGAACCGTACTCGATTACAGAACTATATGGGCCAGCCCTGAAACTTGTTTTCCGAGAGGCTGAAGCAGCTGCCTTGTTCTCGGCGCCGCGATGTGGCGGCGCTGCACCGCCTCGTGGGGTCGCGAGGTGCTGCCTGCGGCACAGCATGGGGGTCAAGCCCGAGTATGCCTTGGGAACCAGCATGGTCAGGTGCGGCTGGTGCAACATGCGATGTGGACGATGGAGGACTGCAGCGGAGCATCAGCTGGCCGGTTGAGCCAAGTTCGATTTGGTAAATGCACGGCGTAGTGCAAGTCCGTCCGGCGCTGCCCGGCAAAAGGGCTGCATCCGACCTGTCATTCATTCAGCGCACATTCGACATGGGCGGGGATAGCCTCACTTTTTTCATCGGCATCCTGGTGCAGGATTTGTGAGTCTGTAAACCAGTCGGTGAGGAATTGGCAGGGCGCCGGGCTCGGCTCAAGAGATCGGTCGGCGACGGGGTAATATGAATGCTGAAGCTCGGGAGCCCGCGCCTGTTATAATCAAGCTGCGTTCGGCTCCTCACAAATGCTATGAATAGCAGTGCTTTCAGCTGCCCATCGATCGAAACATGATCACACCCTCGCGGGGAATCATGTGGGTCCATGGTCGCTTCGAGGCTCGGTTACGCCCAGAACAGTCATCGTGCATTAGATTATGCGGCCCGGCGGATGAGCGAACCCTAACGAGCTGTCTCAGAAGAAAATCGTGAAGACAGTTCGAAGCATCTAGCGGACGGCTCCTTTGATTTTTCGTCTCGAAATACGTTCTCGTGCCCCCTCAGCGAGGGCCATGCGATTTGGGGCCTCTGCTTCCCCATGTCGTGCTGTCAAAGATGTTGTGTTCAGTCTCAGCTCGACCATTGCTTACCCCGCTCCGATCGGCACAACATGATTTATGAGTCCGAGGACGCCACACTCACGCAAGGGGGTTGGCTGATTGCGATAGTTGAGAAGCCAAGGCAGTCTTCAGTCCCTCTCCGCCTTGTTCGTTAGCCGCTGCCTCGCCGCGTCATCTTCTTGAATTGCCACTTTCTGACCCCAATTTCATTCACGACCCGTGCCACCTCAGCCATAATGACTGGTTCATAGCGGTCAAGTCACCAGAGCTGAAAGGATGTCGGTGATGCAGACGCCAAGATCACTGCAGTCCTGCGAACATGCCACAAGAAGAAGCAATGAGTTCGATTTCTTCAATTGAGCTAGTTGTGCGACGTCGACCTGGTCCGGCGCATAGCAGCCCTAAATGTGAGCGCAAGGCACAAGCGGCCAAACCGTCGATCCGGATCGAGCCGCAGTCATCTGTTCCTGCCGCGCGACCATTCCTCTTGTCGATTAAACCTCCGTTAGGCTAACCGCCGATCGAGTAGGCGCGGACAAATCAAAGTCCCTAATGCCCAAGAGGACTTCTCCAATGAACGACAGTTCCTGTGGATTCACTCGTTGTTGTTGTTGTTGTTCCCAAACACACCAGGATCATCCGTTGTTCTGATTCGAACGCGAACCAGGAACGTATGGGTCGTCACGTTGCGGCTGTTCCAAATAGTTTTTAAGGCCCCATGGACGTTCATTTTCGTTGTTGTTTCCGGATGCCGCACTACTTGTTCCTGATGCGGATTGCTGGGGCCCTGGCTGTCTCGAGGGATTCGAGGAGTAGGAGTTCGACTGCTCTATTTTTCAGCTATTGCTTACGGGTCGCGTTACCAGTTGGGATTGCACGCTTACCTTTTGAATGTTATTGGGATTGCTCTTATTGTAAGACATTGTGACAGTGTTAATCTGTGGAGGATCAAGTCGACTGACTTTGGTTGTGGAGTTGAAGTTGGTGTCGATGCAATGAGTTCGAGAAGAAGATACGACGTGTAGAGGCCAGGCTCGTAAAATATAAGCGGAGCATGCAGATAGTACGTCCCTCTGCACTCGTGGACGATCATGACGCTCGCGTATGGACTGGTTATGCACGAAGGGCGCAATCGATCCTGGCATGATGGATTTGGGCCGCCGTTTGCTAGATCGACACGTATCGAAGGGCGGTCATCGGACAGGTTGGAAATGACTGTGCATGGAGTTGTTGGCTGGAAGAAGGCATTGAGTTTCATCCGACGGCCGCTTACCAACGCTACCCAAGGGTCTGAAGCTGCGGAAGGTAGAGCGTATAGGGGTAAAAGCTTAGTATCGGGGTCAAGGATCTGACAGGGCAGCATAGCTGTTACGCAGGTGGTGCTGAGTGGTCTGGATCTGGCGGCATGTTAGGCAGCTGGTAGACCCCACGTAGCCGTACAAGGGCATCGGTGGCCAGCAAAGCCCCGTATTGCTGCCTGCTTGTTGTTAATCCGGACACCCCGATGATCCGCGGCAGATTGACGCCAGTGTTGGCGCGGGATCGTCGTGGGTTGCAGAAATAGAGGTACAAGGTAGTGAGAATTCGGAATCGGCAATGCACGGGCAAGGAGGTGAAACGGCTATTAGGGTCATCTGCTATTCCTTCGCCACTTTAAGGGTAAGATACGCGATTCCGGTGAGTGTTGCGGCTCTGCGGAAATGAGTCGTTCGCGTCGCCGATCTCGACACAGCTATGTGCCGTGTCTATCCGGAGCCAGGTGTCGCCCTTTGTTGCAAACGCAGCATGTCGCAGGCCGTGCGCCCTTTGAGCCCCGCGTCGCCCTTCACCAAGTGGACGGGGCTCGTACGAAAGAGGGCGGTGGCTGCAGCGGGCCCAGACGCGATGATATGCAGGGTTACGCCATCATCGTGATCAGCCGACTGAAAATCCAGGCAGCCATCGACATCCAGGTACGCTTCCTGAATCAGGCGCGATGATAAGGCGCCTCGCTGGTGAGGGTTGATAGAAGCAGAAGAGATGTGCGTGTCTGGACTGGTCGTTGCGCATGGTGCCGCCGCGGTTGGCGCTTACGTTGCAGATGCAGCCAACGCGGCTACAGCTCGCCAATGCTGTCGTGGCTTTTTCCGACGCCCTTTGAGTTTGTCAATGCCGTTCCATGTGACTGCTGCACGTGAGAGAGGTTGGACATGCGGCTCCGCGAGAGGACGGGAGTGGGAGTGGAAGCTGGAGGCGTCGCTGGCCCGACCAGTTCGCTTGAGAATTTAGCCGACGATCGCTGCTTCCCTTTCCTCAACACCACACAAACCCCGCAACGAGCTTCGTTCTTGCTACCTGCAACAGCGACTACTCGCCATCTGCATTTTGTGGTTGCCTTGCCAAGTTTATCAGTGTGGTGCAGCGATTATGCTGCTCAGCTTACACCCTCCTACCGTTACCGTTTCAGTCTCACTGCCTGCGTTTCGCCGGTTGTTTGTTTCAGGACGTACGTCCATGATGAATGGCTGTGTGCTGGGATAGCTGCAGGATCTGGCCCCATGATCGACCAACCAGGCAGCATGCCCTTCTGGAAGGGAACAAAAACGGGCCGTCGATGCAGGAACGCGATGCCTATTCGTCCGCTATTTGTCCTATACCCGATCTACTCCCGCTTCTCTTATCTAGCGCAAGACTGGTTGTACGAAAATTGGGACATGCAGTGCCTTCTACACTCTTTGACGGACGAAACTACGAGCTGACTGTGTAGTAAGTCCACGGCGCAGCTTAACTCCGCATCCTCCGGCTTTAACAGCCTCCTCCGGATTCAGCATCCATGCTCGAGTCTTTGTATAAAATTCACCTGACGACCGAATTTCAAAGGGCCCATACAAAGTAGCACCGCTTCTACAGTCCTACCTCTTAATATTTCCAACCCCGCGAACCCCACTCATGTCTGAACGCATCACCCCTTACGCCCACCTTCATACCTCCCTTAACGGGCCTGGAGATCAGAGACCGACAGCGCTCCAAATCATCGAAGATGAAAACCTGATTGGTAAATGGACCGATAAGGTCATCTTCATCACAGGCGCCAATCAAGGCATTGGTCTCGAGACTGCACGTGCACTACATGCCACCGGTGCAACCCTCTACCTAGGCGTACGAACAGTGGCCAAAGGTGAAGCCGCACGCTCCTCCATTCTGTCCACCTCGCCCAGCCGCAGCCCAATCAACCTGATCACGCTTTCTCTCGACTCCCTCGACTCCGTCCGCGCCGCAGCCGCGGACTTCCTCGCGCAGTCCAGCACGCTCAACGTCCTCGTCAACAACGCCGGCATCATGGCCAGCGCCCATGCCCTCACCTCCGACGGCTACGAAAGCCAGTTCGCTACGAACCACCTCGGCCACTTCCTACTGACCTCGCTCCTCCTGCCCGCTCTCGCCGCGGGCTCGACGCCAGAATTCGCTAGCCGAGTCGTCAACCTCTCGTCCGCCGGCCACAAGGCCCATTCTGACGGCCAGATCGACCTGTCCGACCTGTCGTGGGAGCGCCGCGGCTACAATCCCTGGAAAGCGTACGGCGCGGCCAAGACGGCAAACGTCCTGCATGCGAACCGTCTGGACGCCCTGTATGGCACCGGCAGTCGTCCCGTTCACGGTTTCAGTGTCAATCCGGGCGGCATCTTCACCGGGCTATTCAACAATATAAGCGAGGAGGAAAGGAAGGCGTACGAGAAGATGCGCCATATTTTCAAGAGTCCCGAGCAGGGCGCTGCGACGACGGTGTGGTGCGCGACGGCGAAGGCATTGGAGGGGAAGGGCGGGCTGTACTGCGAGGATTGTGGAGAGGCGGCGCCGGCAGAGATGGACGAGGAGACTGGTGTGTGGAAGAGGAGGGATATCACATATGCGCCATGGGCCAAGGGAGACGTGGAGGCGGAGAAGCAGCTTTGGGAGGTCAGTGAGAGGATGACCGGGTTGCGGGAGTGAATCGGCATCGGCGACGTTGCTGGATGGTAGCAGGTGCTGCTTCAATATAGAACGTTGATTATTAATTTGAACTATTAGCATCTTTAGTTCAATTCTTTTTCACATGGCAAATTGGTGCAGCGATTTTTTCGTGTGGCTCTTACTTGGAGAGGTGAAGTGCGGCAAAAGGCCGGCCTACCTGCAACAATAGACCCACCCCGCAACAATAGCTATTGTTGCTATTGTAGTTAAAACTAAGTCCCTGGTTCCGTAAAAATTTTTATAAAAAGGGTCTTCGCTACCGTTGGTGTCTCCAGGAACAATAGGAGTTTTGTCTACCCTAGCGTATAAGGGCTCTATCTTTTGCTCCGACTCTCTTACTTCTTCTTCTTCTTCTTCCAATCGACACTCCGACAAGCTTGAAGCAACACATCCTCTGATCCGCCATACGGCATCGCTCTCTGCCATTCACACATCTATACCATCGGCATCCGATTGCGATCGATCTATTCAACTGCCGCCATGACTGAATACCGCTCCATCTCAGTGCCCTCAAATGTCGATGATGAGCAGCAGATGGCTCTGTTGACGCGGAGCTGTTCAGCCACTGCTATTGAGCATGGATTTCCGGATTCCCAGGCGACTCATCTGCCAATGAAGCACGATGGCAGCGACACCCCAAGCGCCATGAACTCCTCACCACCGCTGGTCGTTCATCACCCCCAACCAATCTCTGCGGCAGTTCCTCGCTTCCTCACGCCTCAAAAGTCACCCGCCGCATCGCCCTCGCCTTTGCTCTTAGGCTCGTCACCACCTTACTTCCCTCCAGCCTCGCCAACACTATCACCATCAGGCTCGCCTTCGCCCTCACTGGTACTGTCGCCTTCACCTTCATCCTCACCACCACTGTCAGAGAGCTGGATGGAGATCGACGCCCCACAAGAGAGCTCTTGGGAGGTGGAGCTGCGTGAGGAGCTGGAGAAAGAGCTGCAGCGGATGAGGCAGGTGCAGTGGGAGGAGGAGATAGAACGGGAGAGGGATATGCAGTGGGAGAAGGAGATGCAGCTGCTGGAGAAGGAGAGACACGAGAAGGAAATGCAGCTGTTGGAGAGGGAGAGATACAAGAAGCTGGATGCCATGGCCACCCGCAAACGTGGCATTCGGAAGCAGCGGAAGGACATTCTGCGTCTGCGGGAGGCGGTACCAGCGTGGCTAGTGAAGGAGAAGCTCGCTGATCTGGAGAACGAAGAGTTCCTGTACGGATTAGAATAGAGAAATGATGGATGATACGGCAAGGCTCAAGGGAGAGGAAGTTCTGCGAAGGTGAGAGCAGATATACACGGCACTATCATGGGGAGAAGTAAAGCAAAAGCCAAATATATGAGAACAGTCCCTAATCATAATCTCCCTTGAAAAGAACTTTAACTGCCCACCAACCCCTCCTCCTTCTCTCCGTTTTTCCCACCTTCAATTCCCCTCACACCACACCCCCGGCGGCGCCTTCCCGCCATCCTCATTCCCGCCGCACTGCACCGCCACACCGTCGACGCCGCCGCCGCTCACGTCGTCCTGGTACGTCACGTCGTTGCACCGGTAGCCGACGTCGCGCCCTTCGCGGCAGAACAGCGCGCAGCAGCCGCTGCCCTGCTGGTCCCACACGTAGCTGCGCGCCCGCCACGGCAGCGACACGTTGCCGGCGGCCGACACGTTCTGTGCAGAGCCGGTGAAGGACGGCGAGGCGTAGAGGGTGAAGTGGAAGGGGAGGGTGGCTGTTGCGGTTGCGGTGGTGGTGTTGGGGGAGGAAGAGGGCGAGTGGGAGGTGGGGTCGCTGAGGGGGGGTTTTTTTGGGTTAGAGCTGGGTGGGATCTTGGGATGGGGCGGGGTGGTTGGGGTAGGGGGGAGGGAAGGGGAGAAGATGGGGGTTGCTTACGGGTTCGCTGTCACGGTGGAGGTGATGGTTGTAGTGGGTTGGTTTGCGGTTGCGAGATGTCCACCTACGCCACCGCCGACCGCGGCGCCGATGAGGATGATGATGAGAAGGGTGAGGAGGGCGAATGTTGTGGGAGTGCAGCCGAGGATGCGTCTGTGGCGTGTTGCGTGAGGTGGTTGCTGGGAAGAGGAGACTTCTTTGTCGTTGGATGTGATGGCCTCGGGGGCGGTGGTGGTCCAGGTGTTGGTGGCAGGATATTTTGGTTCCTCGAGGTAAAGCTGGGGAGCTTCAAGAGCGCGGCTGTCGTAGTCTCTTCTTGTGTTGGCGGAATCGATGGGCTTGTTCTCTGCTGCCGCCGATGCGTCATGAGAAGGATGATCTGGATGATTGTCCATGTCTCAAGGTGGGCAGTGTGAGGGTTTCAGTACTGAAATTGGCGTCGAGCACGATGGAAAGAGATACTCGAGTGTTTTAAAAGGAAATTGATGGCCGCTGCTAAGCCAAGGCTAAATTAAGCATGCAACAGTGTTGCCTTGCGTCAATCAAAGAACAGCCCAAATTTGTTGCACGATCATGACGTTGTCCCATCTATCTATACGAGTTGTATTGTTCCACAAGTGACCCCGCAACCTCGCCAGCCTGTGACTGCATGCTATTTTCGCCCATGACTGGAAGATGTCAGAAAAAGTTACAAAAGTGCAATCCTGGTAGGCATCACTCCTACGTTGGTAGGGGTTTAGGCCAGATAGGTGCGTTGCAGTGAAGCTCCAAGAGAGAAATTGCGATCCCAAAGCCAATGATCGGATTTTCGACGCCTAGAGTTGGGGGCCGAATGATTCAGATCCAGACCACATATGAGTGGCAGCCAAGCTCGAAAAACCTGCTTGGTGTGTCCGAGATGATTGGATGTTCAACCTCAAAGCTGCAAGTGATCGTATAGAGTACCAGCGCAAACGAGGAATCAAACCGACTGGTTGAGTTTGGCGCTGGATGTCACCTAGACCGTTGACGGCGCCTTGGCTTTCCGATGACCGATTGTAGTACAGCATGCAGGGGAATCCTCCGGCGCTTGCTCAGTGGTTGGGAACGTGAAGCCCCTTGGAGAAAAGAGCGACGCCAAGACAGTTTGGTAAGCGAAACCAGTGAGCCATAGAAGCAATGGATCGTGGAAGCTGGAGAAACAGTGTGGGCGTTGAGGAAGACTTTGCCTCTTTTGGATCAATCTGTCGGAGCGGGTGTCCCTGAATATGCAAAAACCAAAGCAGTTTCGACAGAATGCAGCGATTGCAAGTCGAAGGCTTCGTTGTCCTTTCCTCGAAGAAGTAATAGTCCGATTCTACTTCAGGTGTCGCCGGGACGGCCCTGGTAGTTCTAATAATAAACTGTCGCTGCTGCGTCTGATAGCTGTAGGCCTCCACATCAGTAATTGTCGATAAAGCAATGTGCAGCTGCTTGCCTCACCTACCGACCTAGTTCATTGATTCGCCGAATCGCCCTTCTTGTTGCTCACGGGGAGCAGACCGCCGGCAAGAGAAGCTGCGACGGAAATGGCAACACCCAGTGCAAGAGAAAGCCAGAAAACGGTTCGTGTGCAGCCGCAGATTCGCCTTTGCTTCTTGTTCTTTGTCTTGTTCTTTTCAAGATCGATTGTTTGTAAGTCGGCGGTAGGTGCTCTTGTCAAGGATATCTGGTCTTCGCTTCCACGGTTCATTGGATATGTGCGGTAAGTTGGGGCGGGAGTTGTCGGAGTAAAAGGCGACGCCGGGCTAATAGCGGAATCTTCTGCAAGAAATTTTGGTTCATCGTGGAGGATGACTTGGGGAGCCTCGTGCCAGTTATTGTCTGTCGAATACTTGGGCTCTTGTATGACGGGTTGCAGGGCCTCAGATATCTTGGGGTCGTAGGGCGAAGTAAGTTGAAGACCCTCATGAATCTTGGGATCGTAGTTGGGGAGAATGGCCGACTTCGATATTGACATGGTGGAGTATCTGTTTTCTCAGGGGCCGTTTGCAGGGAAAGCAGAGAGAAGCAGAGGAAGAGGAGAGATGTTTGTTATACTGGCACTGAGAGCAGGCGCCTAATGACTCGAAAATCAGGCTGGAGCAAGGGATTAGGTTTCGACATTGCGCGTAATTACAGCCCAGAAGTCTGAGCCAAGGCGATACGGGAGGCCTTTGCCGCTTAGGGTAAGAAGCCAGTCTAATGCTGGGAACGCGTGAATACCCGATTGAGTAAAGCGATAGACTACGTGTCTTAATAATCTATGAGTACGAGCTCCGAGTGCGAAGACGAGGTACGGCGTATTCTCAAAGTCGAGACAGGCCGGGCACATGAGTGAGTTTCCAGCCGTATCGGGCTCTTTTCATTGGCAGCCCGGATGACTCGTGTAAGGAGGTTTTGCAAGAAAATGCATATGGCTCCGACTTATCGGCCCTGTGCGCTTTGGAGGAGCCAATGATGGAGGCCCAAGAGCGACTTGGGAGTGGAGGTCGAGGCTTAGTGAGAAGGTGGCGGAGCCGGGGTGCCGCAGCTTCCTCTCGTGTCTCGCATTCACACGGCGCGTCACACGCGTCAACCCGAGCACTTTTCCTCCTCCACCGCGAAACCCTGCAACTCCGCGTCGCGTTCGACGTTCACTCCGCCACAATGCCCAGCGTTCCACTTCATCCTCCCTCTGCGGCATCGGAGGCTGCGTCTGGCCTCGAAAACCCGCTGCCACAACTCCTGCAAACGCCCTCGGGCCTTGCAATGCTCGAAATCCAAGGCACCATTCACTCGTCCGCCACACAACCCGAACCTGATGCTCCCTCAGCTTCCGACGCCCACATGGCTGTTGGCAGGCTCGTCTTTCCCAACTACTCGCCCAGCGACCCGCCCGAGAACAAGGCCTGGATGAAGCGCGTCCACATGTACGTCGGCAAGCACCAGCGTATGACGGGCGAGGTCAAGGAGCTCCCCAAGCCTGTGGCTGTCATTCAGCGGAAGCCTGGCACAAGTGAGGAAGACGGACAAGAAGAATTGGAGATTGTGGACATCATCCGGCACAAGATCATCTTCTCCTCTCGGCCCGAGCCCGTGAGCGCCAGCTAAGGCCCCCTCCGAGACCTGCGTGAATGGCCATCACGCGTCGCTGAACTGTCTACCATGCGGCAATGCCATTCACCACGTCTTGAGTGATTGGAATCCGCCTTTCCAGCCTGGTGACCGCTGTGCTTGGCAGCTGCACATGTTTTGCTTTCTAAGCGAGGTGCAGCCTTGCACTCAGACGGTTCGCTCTTTCAGCTGAGGACTGAGGCTCTTCAAAAGTCACGTTTCCCTTATCCAATTGGCCTTGTTCTGTGGTGCCACGAAGTAAGCGCCCAAGCTTTGCATACGCGACGCTACGGGGCCGTGCCGCAGACCACAGCACACCGGGATCCCGCATATGCCACCCGCCCCATTGTGGGTCAGCATGCGACACCTCATCTAATTGAGCCTCAGCCTCGCCGGTTGTTTCGAATCAATAACAAACTTGTCCCTCTCCACCCTGCACCCCTTAGGATCGTCAATTATGCTATGGACATGAGTGACCGGTCCAACGTCGCGACCTCGGTCGGCATCTGGGTTGCCGTTGCCGTTGTAGCCGTGGCTGTGGTTTTTGTGGGCGGGCCTTTGCTTGTTTATAAGGCTTCCAAAACAGAGCGACACCAGGCTCTGAACAGCGTCCGCGATAGCTCTGGATACATAAGCCAGGGGTTGAGGGTGAGCAAATCCATCAGAATCCTCCGCCGAGTCAAGGCACCTATTCTTGCCTACGAACCGAATTTCAACAAAGAGAAGCATCCCGATCCGAATGCCGCCCCTCGCTCAAAGGCTTCTTCCCTACGAGAGCGCCTTCAGAAAGCTGTCGAAGTGATCAAAGAGGAGGGCCCAACAGATGAACCAGTCTATCAAGGTGACACTCCACTGGTCCTTGACGTGAACTCTGCGGCTTTGAAAAGCCGGTCACCTACCTCATGGGTCAGACTTGGCAAATTGTTGGAAGCCTACCCGCAACTCCCCATTGAGAGGGGCGACACGCTGCGTATCGAACGAAATGAAACCTTCCTGCCTGTGCATCGCCTCTGGATCTTAATGTTCGGTTTGGTCGGAAGATACGGCTCTCGCCGTGAAGACAGCATTATTGTGGGGTCTGCTCGATTGCTGGACGCAGCTCCTGGAGCAGGCACAGATCGAAGCCATCAGCATACATTGGGAGGTCTTTCAATAACGCAACCTGCTGCCGAGCAACGGGAACCACTTCGCGGAATTACTGGTACCATCGTCCCATCCCGGAATCGCCCCGTCCCCGCGTGCAATTTTATTGCTCACGACATTCAATACCTGGAATCCATAGAGCCTGATAAACTGTCACTACGAAGCCTTTTCTGGCTTGCGCTAGGTGCCATTCCGTTTGGAGAAGGGAAAGTCTACAGCATAGTCGACCCCGAGCCGCCAAAGACCTGGTCATCTCAAGACGAAAGTGGACAGGCAACGCAAACCAACGCCAACGGCGATATCGCTATGGCATCATTTTCTCGCCAGACTTCGGTTGACTCTGAGCATCAAGTTACCCCGGGCTCACGGGTACGATTCTGCAAACTTGTTCAGATCGATATCACCAATGGTCCCCCTCTCGATATCCTACGTCGTTTTGGTGGAGGCACGCAAACTCTTCATGGTCTTGAAGAGGTTCCGTTAGACCCCTCGGATCCCTACAAAGCTCCTTCTTCTATTCCCTGGGTTGTCTTGCCTTCCAACAGCCCCACGGCTACGGATAATACTGTTTGGAAGCTACAACGAAAGGACGCACAGCTTCTAGCCCGACGTCTTCTGGAGCTAGAGTGGCATCCGGAAGGCTACCTCTTCGGCCGAAATCGGGCCCCTCGTCTTTGGCGCTTTTTCACCGCCGCCGCCAGCGACCTCCATAGCCTTCTCGAGCACATGCAAACAAATATGCATTTCATAGCCAACACGGAGCAAAGCCGTGAGCAGCTTACCAACGTGTTGGACCCAGCCATCAAAGCAAGCAACCGCCAGGAGATCAACCGCGCTGGTACCAGCGCGCTCTTCTACGCCCTCCGAGCTTTCACAGAGCAGAGGCGCAGCTCCGAGGAACAGATCATCAGCGAGTTGGTCAGCGTTCTCTTCATCACCGACGCCGAGTTCCGCAACCTCGTCATGCAGAGCTGCAAGCACCTCTCGCCTGCCACCACGGCCACCACCACCGTCCCATCCACTAGCTCCTCCCTGACTTTGGTTGCCACGACACCGGGTCCTGCGCAAAACTCACCATTCGACAAGGTCATCACATTCTCCCGTCCCGCCTCTTGCATCCTCGTTCCCGGCGCTTTTGGCGTGCCTCAGTCGTTTCCCGTGGATTTGGAGGGCTTGTACCACGAAAACGGCAAGACGCAGCGCTTTTTCAGAGAAGGTGCGGGAAGAGAGAACATCCATGCGGGACTGAGGATCGTGATACTGGCGGCGTTGCGGGCTGGATGTGTCAGCGCGTTGTTGAGAGGTGCGTGGAGTAGCGAGGCGCTGTTTAAGTTTTGGGCAGAGTCCCCGGAGGGGGTGATGTTTTCGTAGATTGGCGAAAGGAAGTTCCTCGGGTCGGACATGGAGGACAATGGGAAAATTGAGAGCGAATGAGAGCGGAAATTGCTGGTGTTAGCCAAGGAAGACTTTTCAACTGCATTCTCGGCGTCTCTTTTCATTGTGAAGGTTCCTGCAATGGGAGGTGCTGAACTTAATCCTCACTTAAAACTTCCTGTGCTTCTTTTGATATCCATACAAAGCTTAATTAAACGCTAGCTCTACCACACGATGTGCACATCTGCTGAAGATGGCAGGCCAGGTCATGTGTATCAAGTCTGTCTTGTGTCACATAAAAGCCAAGACACAGATCGCCCCCTTCCTACCTATCTCAACGTGAATGTGGTTCCAGAATCCCTTACGGGTGAGAACCTAAGTGATCTAGGATCGACTTTGCTGGGTCGAGTGTGGTCTCTAACCGGGTGATCGCCGTTGTATCCAAATCGGTCGACCTGCATACCGTACGCAGAGATCAAGCGCAGGCTCACTGAGAAGCAATAATGCGCTGTACTCGCTGTTGAATAAAACTGTAAGACAGCATTAAGAGACTTTGATGGGGACTTTTATGAACTAGTAATGGAGGGGCACCGAGAGGGTGCGCGGTAGATGGAAGATGAAGTTCTGTCTGAGGAGCGTATTGGGGCCGATACGCTCCTCAAACAGAGGGAGCGGCAGTCGCGTCGCAAATACAGTAGGATGTGTATATTCAATGTGCTCCTCAAGCACCACGGTGCTGTTAGAGTACGGAGTTGTTGGAACCAGAATCGAGCTGGGGTTTTAAAGTAAGCACGGTTAGATGAGGCAACTGATTTACTCGGAACTGTTCTGGATATATGAGCATTGGAAAAGTACGCCGGTCTGTCACATGACCAGTAAATCCTCTCTACACAGTGATGTTCGTAGACCGGACAAATTGCAAGTGACTGATGGGGCAGGTGATACTCGACTGGCCGTCTTCCTGGGCCGATTTAAAATGTGGGATCGGACAATTCCTCGGTACACCAAAGAATCCTATGAAACATTCTGAAGACCAATTCTGGTCGGCAAACTACACTTTGTCGCTCCTCTTCGTGTTAAGCTTAGCAAGCTTCCTACTGCGCTCGCTCGCGCGGAGTTCAGTGGTAAGACAGAGCGGGACGTAAAAGAGATCAACAGCTTTATGAAACTTCAGGCAAGCCACCACCTTATGCTTCTGATGAGGAGCGGCATCATTCCTCTCACATGTTACGTGGGAGATGGTATAAATCGATATATGATCACTTCAGCCTCGTGTTATTCCGCTTAGTGACAGTATTACCTTTTGCTTGGAGAAAAGACCAACGAAGCAAAAGAGTAGTTTCTGCGATTTCCCGGACGTTGCATCACAGGAAATGGTGCGCGAAGCCGCGGTGAATAGAGTCGATTCTTGGCCCACAGCCTTTAAATGCATGGACCGGAACGTGGCTTCATGAACATGTTAGGGGCACTCCAATAAATTGAAAGGATAGAAAATATTCCCAGAGCCGGAGATCACGAATATGCCGCAAGCGTCCAGGTAGTACTAAAGCTCATGCAAGAAGCTTACAAGATCGCTAAGGATTCCACAGTCATCGTAGGGCCCATTAGTTGCCTAATTTATCTCATCTCATTTGTAGGAGGCTGCACTGCAGATGGCGGTCTCGCGCTCATTGACTTTGAGGAGACCCACATGACCGTGTGTCCTTCTTTCGCTCAAGACAGCTTGAATATAAATGCTCTTCACGGCAACCCTCCAACAGCAGAGGGCTGCAGGTTCATTTCTAGGGACGACAATGATCGAAGGACTGACTGGCTACCGGTTTCTTGTTGCTTTCAAAGATTGCGAGTTTTTAAAGTGTTAGTTCAAGTATATCTGATATTTCATACGAACTCTGAGTTGATTCCGTATGCACGTTCTTATATGCAGAATTGTGAGCAGCCAAGATTACAAATGATGATGTGCAACGTTATGTCTTGATTCTAGGGGGGGGGGAAGGAAACAGGTAATGCTGGGACTGAACCAAGCGAGACCGTCAAAATGGGACATCAGAAGCATTAAGGCGTCAATAGAGCTCACAAAAGACCAACAACCAGTCGCAGCTACCAAAGTTGGTATAGCATCGCTCTATTGCCGGGCCAAAGAGAGTTGAGGTTATCTTGGACAGCGGCGTGACGTGGGAGCTTTATATTCGCACTGTGACATTAAAGAGTAAATGCCAATGCAACGCGTGAAATGCCCTGACTTTACCCAACCATCTATACCTGTGACCGAATCCTGTCTATCTTGATCATTTCACGCTACCAGTCCTCTTCCGTTCTTCCATCACTGCTTAGCTTAATGGCACCGCCCTACGAACTTCCAGGGACGACCTGTAATGCAGAGGCGCAACCACCAAGTCTGATGCTACCAAGCGAGATTCCTTGTGCGCGCCTCTTGTTTCTACGCCGTATCCAGTCGGACCATGACTTCTGAGCCTGCCACCGCTATGTGGACATTCCCCTTCCTCTTCACCGCGCCGCCCACAGTCCTTCTCCCCTCCCAAACGCACCAAACGCACTCGACTCCCCACCGGGCCTCTTCGCGACCCTCCCCTGTGCTTTTACGCCCTGCACAACCCTCTCCAGCCCCGTCTCGACGACCACGCCTCCTACTATCATTTCGCTCAGCGTCGCGTGCAGCGTCTCGAAGTTGAAGATGAGGTCCAGCTCGCACACATTCTCGAACAGGCGGTCCAACGCCTCGACGAAGACCTGGATCAGGTCGAGCAGGGCGAGCGGCGACTCGGTGGCGGTGCTGATGATGATGAAGTACAGCGTCGCGTAGTGGCGGTAGGTGACGATGGAGGGGGTGTCGGCGTAGGGGCCGTTGGTGGGAGAGTTGCTGGAGGAGGCGAGGAGAGGCGGGAGACTGTTTGTAGATGTCTAAGTCAGCGGCGCGAAGGTCGTGGCGGCGGGGGAAAGACGTGGGCGTTGTGGGGGGGGGGGGGGGGGGGGGAAAAAGGGGGGGGGGGGAAGCGACGAGTTCGTTTGGTGGTGAACAGATTGACGGACATGCTGCTAGCGGAA